AAAAATTTTTTTTTTTAAAAAATCCTTTCCCCCCCCCCCCCCCCCTCAGGGATGGTCTAGTCAATAATGACAATTTTTTCGATAACTCAGCCATTTCTTCACAGATTGCTTTCATCTTCGAACTCGACTGAAATATTGATGAGATCATTCTGTGTACAAAATTTCATGACAATTGAATGAGGCTTTCAAAAGTTATCGTGTTAACGGCCGGACACACTGACCGAATCAAGAGTGTACTCATTTTTTTTGGAGTACACAAAAAGAAAATCTTTTTTCCCTCTATGAAATCTGTCTTAAGTACATTGACTATAATAAACCAGTATTTGAAATGTTAAATGTTTCAAATACTATTTTTACTTTATATTAGACAACTCATCCGTTAACTCGTATTCGGAAAGGTAATATACAATAGTGCTAATATGTTTTGTCGCGCTGCATATAGAATATTAGCATAAATTTTCATGGCATTAGTTTAGCAACGTAGACTATTTGATATTTCTTTTTTTCATCCTGTATCTTTTTAAGTACTAACAACTAACTCGTTTATTCAGGTAGAAAATCTAGAATTTTATTGCGGATGGATTGCATAATAAGTAGTGATTAGGTAAAAAGCACATCGTGAGAAAAGTAAATTCTCTCTTTGATGAGAGGCTCTATAATTCACTTAAGTTTTATGGCTTCTTTTTGTGTCAAAAAAATGATGTCAGCTCCTTCCTTTTCTCTTTTCTCCTATTAACTTAACACAAGGTAATCATTTGTTCCTTAAAATAGGATATTGAAGTAAAATATCGTGAAAAACTCATGTCTGTTGATGTTCAAAAAAGTCAACTAGAACAAAATCTACAAGAAGCAAATCGAGCACTCCACCTAGCTGATTGTCATTTACAACAGGAAATTTCAAAAATAAAAGTAAGTCTTGAACAAGAATATAATCGACGCTATGAAAATGATCAAAAACGATATCAAAATGATTTGAATCAGTTACGACAACAGCTAGCCAAGGAAATTGATAATAAACGTTCTATTAATCATTCTATGCAGGATACTGATGAACTTAAAAAAATGTATCGAGCAGAAATCGATCGTTTATACCGTAAGACGAGTTCAAATAAAGCCCCACTAGATATTTAACTTTATTTATCTTAAGGTGAAAATCTTGACTTGAGTCAACATCAAGCAAAACTTATTGATGCACATCAAAAGCAAATGCAAATAATGAAAAAAGAGCTAGACGACGGCTATACTAATCTTATAACTGAAGTTCAACGTGAACAAACACGTTTACAAGCACGATGCGATCAACTTAAACAGCAACTATTGGAATCACAACAAATCATCGAACAATTAAAGTCCAGTTTAAATCGCTTAAAAAACAACCGTGTCAATGATCTATCAAAAGTTACAGAAGTACATGTCAATGAAAAAATGACTTCTGAACGTGCGAATAACGATCAAATAGATGATCTACAAAATCGTATTAAACATTTTGTTAAACTACTCGAAGAATCCAATGATAAGTAAGATTAAAATTCTACTCCTATGTTCTTCCCATAATTACTCCTAGAAATTCGCATTGTTCCGTTCGTGAATGATGCCGATGTTCTTATCAATCTTGCAACTTCGATCTTTACATTTGTGTTGGTTTCGAAGTCCAAGGAAAACCGTTGTCTCTTCGGAATGAAACTTCGTCTTTGCATTTTCGAAGAATTCTATTTTCAATAACGAATGAGAGAATATTCTATTGAATTTCGTGCTCTACTTAAGGTTAAACCAAGAACGAGCGGTGCACGCGAAACAATCAAATGAATATCAACAAACTGTAGCTTCGCTACAAGCAAAAATGAATGATATGTTGAAACGTCAAGCAAAACCCGTCGATGAAATCAAACATGAATATCAACACGCACGTGTAAGACATCAAAGACAAGTGACACCACGGCCAATTAGTACAACCGAATCTATACAAGTACTTTCTTTTTTCATATTTTTAACTAAAATATTGATTTTAACATTTTGTTTTCAAATTCAGACCAACTCATCAGACACCGATACGAAAACCGACGCTAAATCAAATAATGAAATATTTCGAGGTAACAATCCCATGCTAAGAAAAAGTTCATCAATCGTTCAATCCAGAGTGAGGTAGAGATTTAAAATACAAAACTAAGTTGCTATTTATCTGCTAGAATAAATTTGCTCTATACAATTAAGCGTTGGTTTTTCATATGTGTTGCGTATGAATATACGTACTTATTAAAATGATTGCATCCGTTTTAGAAATTTTTACAACTGAAATGATTGCTTTAATACGGCTAACGTGCAAGATGATTTTTGATCTGCATCATAGAGGTATATTTTGGTTCTTTTTCATTTGGTATAAATCTTTAGAGCTAGACTTTAATTGCTTTCATTGAATGATTCTAACGCTTGCGTATCTTATATTTATTCGTGAGGCACGTGTTCAAGTTGGTTTTTGTTTTACTTTTGAAGTTTCTTCAGCTCATATTATGGACAATCTGGAAATCTCAATGAAAAAACAAATTCAAAATGAATTAATCCGAAATCGCAATTCAATGATTAAAGAAATTCGTCGAGAAATATTTGAAAAATTGACCTATGCACTGAGAAGTCAAAAAGTGTATGTTGTCAATCGATTTGATTTGCTTTTATTTTTGTTTTCAATATCATGAAAATTTTTAGGCCAGATACAACTATTGATATGCATATATTTGAACTTGATCGTCTTCTATCGCAGCTGGCGCAAGATTGTTTAGATTCTTTTCCTTCACCGTCCTCATCCGTATCAAATTCTTCTATTCTATCTATTCAAATCAATCCTCAACATCGACAAAATCGTACAGTTATCTATGATTCTTCTCTAGCAAATAAATCTAAAGTCTTATCAACCAAATCTATTGAATGTCTTTATTTGACTCCAGCAACAAATAAACAACCTGCACCCTTAGCTCCACACTGTCGTGCCATGCTCGATGAGGATCGTCGGCCAAAATCAGCATCAAATATTTTAGAAGATAGTCAAAACCCTGCCATTACAACAATTTTATCTCCGAATGGACATAAGTTTCAACGATCGCAACAGAATAAATACCTTCAAAAGAAAATGCATCGAAGCGAAAATGATATTATGTCAGCCGTACAACCTAATGCGCAACAAAAACCGCATTTGAATAATAATCACAATATAGTAAATTTGTATGAAAATGGCCGTGACGATCGACATCCAACTGTTCGAACTTCAGCAAAAGAATTAGAACGAAAGTCAAATTCATCGTCTGATATCTATCATGCTCAAACTCGACCACCCAATATACATTATGCTACTGCACGACCCATAGTTAATGACGAACAAGAACAAGAAGATGATGACGATGATGATGAGTTAACATGGCCAAATGAACCAATATCTAGTAGTCCTTCAACACAGAGAAATGGAATAAAAAAACTTGTGTGTTCTGGTTTAAAACTTTTCATTACGCAATCACCACAACATAAACGATCAGGAAAATAATGGATCTGTGCATTTCGTGTTGACTTCCAGTTGTTTTATTTTTTATTTTCATATTTAAATGATGAATTATCATTCATTGATTTGCTTTTTTGGATAGATTGATTTGTATTATGTTGTTTAACGTTTTATTTTGCTTTTATTCATTACCGGTCCTATTTTTCTTTGTAAGCCTTTCATTCATCCACTTCTATTGGAAAGTTTAGTTATTTTGCAAATATATAAATTGATCGAACAAGTCTAATTTATTCAATTCTTGTGTTCTAACATCTTTAGTGAAACATATGATTTACAAGTACCACTGCAGTTTTAACTCGGTATGCACTCTCAAAATACTCCGTGTTAAAGAGATGTATTTCTTAATAAACGTTTTAAGATTACGCCCATAAATTGAAATAAAAAACCAAATTCAGTACAGCAGCTTGTTATTTTTATTAATATCGCTGCGACTTACACTAGACTTATACAAAACTTGAATATAAGGAGGGGGCTCATTCTGTCGAGCCATTCGAATGGCTGGGAACGTCCGACGGAGGCTTCCTTTCTTGGATCTGTGCATCTTGTAAAAGTACTGTAGCTAACGAAAGAAAGTTTTCTCTAGAATGAAAAGTGCGCCACGACAACAAGCTGTATTTTAAGAAGTTAACAGTTGAGCAGTTCACATCTGATTATGCCTTGAGTTAATATCGATTGAAACGACGTCGAAATGCTTTCCATTGTCGTCTGACTCCTGTTTTAGATTCTTGTTCGTATGTTTTCGAAGTTGAAACAAAAATGAAAAACGTGAGTAGCGATGGAATGAATGAAACAAAGTAACCGATCACGAATACTAATGGTACTCTTGCTGATTGCATGCATCCAGATGAGTATGAAATGATTAAGCGGGGTAAGGGTAGAATAACCAAGAAGCTAGAACTAATAATCAAATGTCTATGCTTTTGAAATTGTTGTTTTATAGGTGCAGTGTATGGGCTTTCTTTCTTCGTTGATGCACATTTTCTTGCAACACAAACGATGATTCACTTGATATACAATTGAACAAGAGAACATATCGCGAAGTAATAGTTGGCATTTGAGAAAGAATAAGTAATCAAAGTTTTAAATTCAAGCCAATTATGGTCAAAATCGATGTGATCGACGATGCATACCACAGCCAACTTTTAGACATGCTTTCGATCGAAAAGTTAAAATCGATAGTTTCCGAAATGAAACCAACAAGTAACATGATTGAAGTTACAGTAATACTAATTTTGGCATACATAAATTGTCTGGAAATGGGTAGATGAGGACGAATCTGATAGCCTAAAATTGCATCAAGTGATAGACTAAACAGTTGCGTAGTGAATTGGCATTGCGTACCATAAAAACATTGCCGACAAACCCACATAATCTTTGTTGGATTGTCTTGAAAGCATTGAGCTTCACTTTGACAATTATTCAAAGTGCTATTGTTAACGACGATTCATTCTCTCTCTCTCTCTCATTGATGTCTTTTACTGTATTTGCTATTGTGATTGTATTTTTCTCTCTTCTTTTCTTTATCTTCTTCTCTTCGTCATCGTCACATTTATATATGTTGTAGGCAAAATTAGAATTCTGGCAAATTCGGAGTTTGCCTAGTCAAAATTAGAATCGGGCTAGAGATAAATTCATGTAGTCACATGTTTTAGTAAACGTACAGTAGATGAGAAAAAAAGAGAAAATCGTAATAAAGCCTGACGTACCGATAAACAGTATAAATATAGAGATACGTGTTACACACAATCTTATAGAAAATGTCTGAATCGGATTCAGCAACCGTCGAAGTGGAAAGTGCGGAATCACTTTATTATAAAGAATCAGAAAAACATATTAATTCTTTGAGTGAAAGATTTCGAGCGAAGGGTGTGGGTGTGGATGTGTTTTTGTTGGACAAAATGTCATTCAAAACGAGGTTGTTGTAAAAATATGGGTGAATAGAGTAAAGCAGTTAGGCTTCTAATTGTAGAATGCTCAGAAAAAAAGATTTTGTTGAATAAAATATAGTTATAACACTTAAATGTTGATTATTTTCTTTTTAAGAATTTATCTCTAGGCCGATTCTAATTTTGCCCGGGCAGAATTAGAATTCCAATTCTGTCCGGTCAAAATTAGAATCTTGATTTTGCCTGGGCAGAATCAGAATTCTAATTTTCACTAGGCAAATTCCGAACTTGTCTGAATTCCAATTTTGCCTACAACAGTGGTGCCAGTCATAACATCATTTGTTGGTGTCAATGTTCATCAACAAGGTCCACAAGAGCGTTGTCACTGGCGAACACGACAAGAAGAAGCGTCCGCTGATAAAAAAAATTCAAAAGACGCAAAACTTCAAAAAAACATATTCCCAAGCTGCACCATAGATGTTCATATACAACGGAAAAAAACCAGCTTGACTATTTCGATTTTTTGTTATTTCATGGAGAACTTTATGCATTGAACAAGATATTTTCCTTAATACACAGTTAGTTCAACTGCTCTTCTCTTCGAACGAACCAAAGACACGCAACTTTGCATATAAAAACAAAAATGTGATCGCATTATTCTCCTAGACAAATTACATCACTTGAATAAGAACGAGTCTATCGAAAGTATTCTGTTGTAATCATAAGTGACATATGCAGCAATTGAGCGAATCACATTTACATCTATCTTGATATGAACTTTTGAACATCATCCGAACTTAACTTCTATGATCATTCTCATTTAACTATGATAATTATACGATCATCATGATTTATTCTGGATAATATTGAAAACCGGCATCGTGGTCTGAGAACGATGAATAGAATCATGAGAGTTCAACATTAGTATCATTTAATCCGGTGACCATTATCTTACATTGATCATAAAGAATGCGGTCATTACGACCTATGTATCAAAATGGTGCATGTGATCATCATAATCTAAGATCGGTAACAATGAAAACGATAGGTGTGGCATAGGCTAGATAATATTCAATAGCATCGTGATGCTCTAAGACTGATAACCGTGAATACGATCATGACTATCGACCATCAGTAATAATGTGAACTATCTTGTGAGTGCCAATGAAGAGATATAACTTACTCGCACACCCACATTCCAAAAAAATATCATTCTATGTTGAAGATTTGTTTCATATTGGTCGATTGTTTAATAAAGCACCAACAAATTAGCTTGAACGAGATATTGCTTAAGTGTTTTCTCAATTTGGCTCTCATTTACAATTAAAAAGAAAAACTGATCGATTTTATTCAAGTGAACATGTTATAATTGATTCTTAGATAAATTTTGAAGAAAATATTTCTTTCAGTTTTAGCCGGAATCGAAACTCAACTTGAATAATCAATGCGCTATTGTTTTCGACAAGTTTTTTTTATTTAACTCAACTTTATGCACATCGTAGCTGCTTATTAAATGTTATTCTTAATAAATAACCGATTAAGTTTCAAGCTCGATTTATTGATTGATTGGGTCGTATTAAATTTTAAGATAAAATTGGTTGAGTCGAGAGTTTTTCTCGTGATCGATCTAATTTTTTATTTATCCAAATGTTGATGAAAAACGTGCTTATTTGCAATGCATTTAATCGATCGGGATCGCCGAACTTCGCCAATTATTGGCGAGAGTCCAGGTGGTGCACTGGCGAATGTCCATGAGGTATAGCGATGAAAGTTAGGTAGACATTCGTCAATATAAGATCCAGTGTGATATTAATCATGATATTTTCAGTTAAAATAGACAAATATCAAGCGCATACTGATCTAAATTATGATAAATTCGAAAAGATTGAGACTTGTTCATCTTCAAGATTTTTGCAATTCCCACCAAAGTATTCATCTTTGTTTTGACTCACAAAACCTCGCTGGAGACTATGCTAAGACATTTTATTTTCTTGAATAGAAGACAAAGTTCAACGCGATATTTTCAAGAAATCGTCGCAGATCGAGAAAAAAATCAAAGATTGAATGTTGTGACGATCAACTACAAAAGTTTCGAATCTTCGTGTCATTTCTCATATGTATGTGTATTTCGTACGAAAAAATTACCGCAGGACTCAATTCTTTATCGATTACAAGGCATTCATATTTTGTTAAGTATGTACTTTGTAATATGTCAAAATGATTACACAAAGTAATATACAAAACCTGGGGAGAAACATTTGTCGTACTGTGATGAAGGTTATCGATGTATTTTGTATGATTAAATGAAGCCCTGTTAAAGTTAGAAAGGAGGAGGGAGGAGAAGGTCGTTTTACGCCCCCCCCCCCCCCCTCAGATTTGAATTATTTTTATCAGTTATTAATCAGGGATCGTTCTTGATCACTTTTTTCAACTTTGCTTCCCGAAAATCGACATTGACGACCTTTTTTGCCTGGGGTACCCACAGGTATCATCGACAGCAAAATTTGTTTTCTCACCAGCCAAAGCCAGATGTAATTGTAGATTTAAGGGTACTAATTACGAATATCACACTAAGTGCTCCGAATATTCCCTTATTCCTTATAAAGCCTGAACCACTCGCTTGACCCTATGATTCATTGTTTTTAGTGCAAAATGATTTTCTCTAACTGATAATTTTGAATTATCTGCCAATCTTAAATTTTTACATCGAAAAATGAAACTTATGGAAAAAAAGCAGGGATTCTGGGGGGAAATTTGACCCCTTCTCGCCATATTTGTCTACCTTGAGAATGAAGAAAATCTGCCGCAACGTCAAATTTTGATCGTAAGTGCAGTTTTTCAAGCTCTATCGACTGAAGATCTAAAAAAATAATAAAAAAGTTAAGAACACGACTAATTTCAATCAAATTGCTGTAGGGAAGCACTGGCACTAAAAAATATAAGATCGGGAAATCAACAAATATATAGTCCATCTTGTACAGCTTAATGAACTGTGCACACCGTATAAAATATGGCTCTCCGCTCTTTCCTTCGACTCACAAATTCGCTTCACAAGATGTATGAATTGTTGCCAGGAAGTAAAATTTCACATCAATTTTATAGAAATTATTAGTATTCTTAACTTTTCACCATGTTGCACAAATTTCCTAATATTTTTAAGATCTCCAGTTGATAGAGCTTGAAAAACTACGTTTATGATCAAAATTGAACTTTGTGGCAAGGCTCGCTTCATAACAAACTATTACGGGAAAAAATGATACATTAAAAAAACGGTCAATTTTTACTACCGAATCGCTATTTCTTTTTCCTCAATGGTTCGTTTTTCGATGTCAAAGGTTCAGATTCGTGAAGAACTCAACATTTTTGGTTAGCAAACATATTTTCTACTTAATTAAAAAACAAATGCCAATGTATAACAGTGCCAACAATGAAAAATAGTATCTACAGAGTAGTTTCGGCTACCTCGGAAGCAAAGTAGTTTTGACACTTCTAATTACGATATTCGTAATCAGTACCTTTAAATCTGCAATTACACCTGGCTTTGGCTCGTGAAAAAATCAAATTTTGTTTTCGATGATACCTGTGGGGTACCCCAGGCAAAAAAAGTCGGCAATGTCGATTTTCGGGAAACAAAGTTGAAAAAAGTGATCAAGAATGACCCCTGGTTAATAACTGATAAAAATAATTCAAATCTGAGGGGGGGGGGCGCAAAACAGCCTTATCCGCCCTTCTCCTTTTTATCAAATTTTTTTGAAAAGTATAATTCGGAATTAGATTAACAAAAATGAAAAAGAAAATATCTTACAATATGCTTGAATAATTCATATCCATTCCTAGTACATGTTCAACTTTTTTCTTTTTCGTATTAAGCATTCTTATGCCTAATTTAGTCATCATTGAAAGGTCAAATTTAACATGTATGTGTGTACTAAGATTAATTATCTCGATCAAAAGAATCTTGAACATAGAACACCGAAATGTATAATTCATACAGCCGAATGATTGTACCCACACACGAAAATGTCCATGATTGACATTGCTGTAAATCAAACTATTTAATAAATACTATCGATTTATCTTATTGTTCTTTTCTGAATTAAACATCATAGACTCTTTCGCTCAAGAAGGGATTGAACACAATTTAAATTATCTTAATTTCGTTTGCAGCATTTTCTCTTTTCAATGAAGTAATTAAAAACTGCGCGATAACTAGGTCACTCCATTTTCGGAAGTACAAATATATAGAAGCCTATGTTTGAAAATGTACCAATAAATCAACCGTTCCGCTAAATTTTTCTTTCATGACACTCGTGTATTTGTCATTTCTTTACCTGTCTACCTATTTATTTTTTCTTACTCGTAGACAGTCAAAATTAATTTCAGTTGATAGCACGGTACTCATCAATTGACTAATCATGACATTCATATTTTCTCATATGAATTATCATACTATCTTAGTCATACAAAGGAAGCAATAAATCGTATTGACGCATGTTTTAGATCTATAGCTTTTGTAAAATATGTATTTTTATGACTTTAAAGTCCAGCATGTGTTTATGAGATAAGATAAACAAGGAAAAACATTAATCAATATAAAGCGAGAAATAAAAAAACGAGAAGAAATTATGACAATAGAAATATAGCCAGGTAAACGGTTCATTGTTTTCCATGAACCGATCCAGAGATTGCTTAATAAATGAGAACATAATAATTCTTGGTGTTCATAGTTAACAACAAGACAAAAACAACAACAACAACAACAACAACAACAACAACAACAAAAAAAAAATTGAACTATAATATGATAAAAAAATTTAAAAAAGCTAGAAAAAAAATACTCAATCTTTATGTGTTCTTTTTTTGTACGTCAGCAGCTTTTACGATCGTTGGCTTTTTCATTAAATAATTTACGAAAAAGAAATGAAGAAATAAACCAAAATAAACAGCATACATAACAAAGGACCAAAATATATTTGCATAAGCTACATGACATTTTGCTTCGGCTTGTCTATAAACATAGGCTTTATAATTAACAAAACAACCAACACCCATTTGTGACAGTTGAAAAACTGTTACTGTTACTTGTACCCATTTAGGTATACGATATTGCATAGCACGAAAGGCATAATATGAATACATCATTGCTGAACATAATACGACATCGGTTTTTTCTTATTTAAAATTCTTTTCTTTTTCTACTTACCATGAACTGTATAATTCATAAAAACAAACCATCGGCCACTAGCTGTCCAATCGTGATAGCTAATAAATATTAATTTTTACGGCATTGAAACGAAAAAAATTATTTATTTTAAAAACTCATACCTATACCAGGCGTAAACTAAAACCGTAGCATGATGAAACCAATGCAAAAATATTAATTTTTGTTTCCGTAATACAATAAATAATGTATCAATAAGTTCCGGAACTTTTGATATACAAAATATTGTTATCCTATATGAATAAATATTCACAGTAAAAGAAAAATGTGAACTTTGACTTCTACGTACCAATAGCCAGTTATACCATATATATTACTTCGATCACATATAGTATATTGTAAACCTTGCGTATGCAAACTATATATCATTTCAGGTAGACAACGCGTCATACCAAAAACACTAAATACCGCTAAGCCTACATTCCATAATATTAATGGTACACGTAATTCAAAACGTTCTCGAGATTCCATTAAAGATCGGCCATAATAAATTAAGATAACATATATTACTGAATACACAATACTTAACCACCACCATTTGTTCATCCATGCATAAATATTATGAGCATAAGTTCTATCAAAAAATTTCAATTCAAAATCGAATACTAATGGATGATGTAAACCATTTGGATCGCGTATCCATGGTCTCACACGTAATTGAGTTAGATTAAGATATTCACGTAAAAACTGATTTGTATATAATGATTGCACTGTTTCCATTGCTAAAAGATGTCTATCTAGAATGGAATAAATAAGAGAACGCATTAATCGTAGGAACGCCTCTTTACATATTTCATCAAAAGATTTACATGTATGAAACCTGTTAGATAGACATTCGTACTCTTATGCTCACTTCATTTAAATTCTCATTCATGTGAAACGAACGACAATCTACATGCTCGTACATAGGTGTATATTTTTTATACTAACATTCGATTTCTCGGTAAAGAATAATGAGTAATGTTGTGTATCGTCATTAGGGACAATTATGTATATAAGAATAAAGGGGGCCACTCCACACATGTTTGACGAAGTGAGAAAAAAAGTGCAAAGAACGAAAGAGAAAAAAAGAGACGCCGTCATCAAATACATGTCAATAGATATATAATATATACGATCAAAAAAAAATTTCAATACGCCAATCATATTCTAATTTTTTTTAGATCTCTCGTTCTCAATTACTTTACCCGACGTATTAAATGGAAAAAAAGGCAAAGAAAAGTAATTAAAACTACTGGTTTATTGAATTCTCTTCAAACATACACGCATAAAATGAAATATCAAAACAAGAAAAAGAACATGGACGGAAATAAGAAATACCTTTTTTCCCATTTAGTAATAGCTAGCGTATGGCATTCAAGTGGCATTTTACATTCATAAGAAAACGCAATTGAGATAGTAAAAAAGTGTCAAAAATTAGAAAGAAACTACAAACTGCGAAATATCACACTGACACATTTTGAGATTTACTCCGGATTTGTGGTTTTGATAACTAGTGGTTGAGCAAGTGGTCTATGACCATAAACTTGAATGTACTGTTCAAGCTCTTGTTGAAGAAAAGCAATACGTTGTTGTAAATAGACAACTTGTTGTTTTAATGAATGTATAGTATTTTCTAGATCCATTCGAACATCATTAGATAATAAACCTTTTAAGCTATTTTCATATGTTAAACGACACTCGATTAATTCATGTTTATGTTGTTCATTTAAATATGATAGTTTACGTTCTAGTTGCTCTTTTTTTGATGTTAATGTATTGAAATTTTTCTCCAGATTTTTCATGCATAAATCAAATTGCTAAATAAAGAAAGCCTATAGAGTTTCATGACTTTGTTTTTTGGTTATTAAACATACAGCTTTAATTTCATTTTTCTCACGAAGACATTGTTCATTGACTGCATAATTTTGTTTTTCATAAGATGCTTTGATTTTATGTTGTTCTTCTTTGAGTACTTGAATCATTTTTTGTTGATCATTTATAATAGATTGTTGTTTAGAATTGCGTTCTTGAAACTCGTCTTCAAAGCAAAATTTGAATCATTATATCGAGAAAAAAAGCGACGTCTTATTTAACAGACCTTCAATTGATTTTAATTGTTCATGAGTTTTTGAAATTAGCATCTCAATACGTTTTTCATAGTCATCGGTTTTATGATTATGTTGTTTTTCAATTTTTCGAATAAATTGTTCATATTCATTAATAAGCTAATAGAAAATGGAATAAAAAGAAACTAATCCTATGAATCTTTTTGTATTTCTTTTTAAGTAGAAGATCATTAGGGAAATTGGAAATGAAATATAGAGTAGAAGAAAAAGAAACAAATAGAAATCGAATCATATGTAACGAGGACTAACCTTTTGTTTTTCATTTTCATGGAAGAGTTTTTTTTCAACAGATAATTTATCGACTTGTTGTAAATCGAATTTAACTTTTTGTTCGTGTTTTTCAATTACTTGTTCATATTTGTTTTTTATTTCTTCCATTTCTTTATTGAAATTTGTTCGTAATTTTTCTTCATTTCTAAAACAAATATTTATTGTTTTTTTTTCATTACGAATCAGACATAGTGATACGAACTGTTCTTTAGTTTGTTCGTATTCAATTTTCAGTTTTTCACAGACTTTTGCATGATCACGATTTAAATTATCCATTAATTGTTGTTCGTTTTGACGTGCTTTATCATTCATTTCTTGAATCTAATAAAAAAAAGACACAAGCATTTCAGTGAAAATCTTCGGAAGTAGAGAAATAAAAAATGAACGATAACCTGATTTTATCACGGTAATGGCGCAAGGTGTATTTTGTAGATATGATTTATGAAACGAGACTGAACTTGTAGAATCTATTCATGCGCACGTAGAGCTAATAACATTTTTCTTTCCTTGCAATTAGGATATAGAGTTTATGCACAGATTGCATGATAGATCTTTCGATAGAGAACAATTCAACTGCTGTTTTATTTGTTTGGCATGTCGTCTTTGTCCTAGAAGCTGTCAATCCCATTCTCAATTGTGAAACAAGAAAACGCTACCGTTATCGTAAAAGAAAACATGAATTATGTCCAGTAATTTATTCTTGATAGATCATTCTTTTCTCTTATTCATGTAATAAGATTGTTCTTTTCTACATTTAAAACAACCCAATAATTGATAGGAGAACATTTAGTCGTAATTTCACACTTCCGGAAAGTGCGACAGGCACCTTTAAGCCGAGAACAATATCTTTTATTATAGTGATTGAAGAGGCTTGACATTTTATAAATGAGTAATTGCGAAAACAATTCTTAGCTGATTCACTGCCGTTTTTTGAAGGTCATAAATATTTAATCAATGAGTCTTTGTGGTATATTAGATGATAAATAAGAAAGAAAATATTCCTATTACTAATTCAACGCTGATAGAGTATTTGCTTAATGAAATCTGTACTACCCTACTATTCAAGTCTCTTTTCCTCCAATGAGAAGTGATGAAAACTGACGTTACTTTTTCATGGAATTTTCTTTCGAGATCAATTTTAATTTGCGAAAAAGCTTTTTCACTTTTCTCGATTAAATCTCTTTGTTGTGAACATGTTTCATTTAATTGCTTAAGTTCTTGATGCTTTTGTTTCAACTCATTTTGTAATTGTTCATTTTGTTGTGCGACTAAATGAAATTTTTCATTTGATTGTTTAATTTCCTGTTTCGATAATTGCAATTTTTTTTCATAATCATTTTCACATTGATGAATTTTATTTTGATACGTTGATTGTTGTTCGTTTAGTTTTTGTTCAAATAACTTTTGCATATCATAGAATTTTTCTGTTATTGTCGATAATTGTTTTTCGAGTTCATCGATCGTTTTTGTGGCTTTAGTTTTTGTTAGATCATTTTCTTTACGTAATAAATCAACACCTGATTCACTACGAAGACGAAGAGATTTCAATTCATTTTCATAGCGTTGCACTTGATCAGCATGATCACGATCGGCATGACGCAATTTATTTGTTAATTCTTGAGTCTAAGAAAACAAAAGTATTTTGTCAGAGAAAATCTGAATGAAATCCGATAGATAAATAGTAAACAAAACCTCGCGTCTGAACGGAAGTGATAAGTAAGACGCGACTACTTTTATAGAACATATAGGAAAAAAGAGTTCGTTATCACATGAACGAGAAGAGTCAAACATCAAATTGTTCTATTCTATACTTCAAGTAGATCATATTTCTTGAAAAAGAAGAAGATCAAATTTCATTGTTACTCAATATTATCGTTAACTGGTTATCTTCAGTCTAAATAGCAACGTTGATCTTGCAGTTTTGTGACTTCTTATACAATGAAACAACTAACTAATGAGCGAAAATCTATAAGTGCAACTCATTTTTCGTTCGTTAGTATGAGCCTAATCTCCATACGAAGCTAATGCTATAGAAATCTCCATAGAGAATGATGATTTTTTTTATTTTTCATCTTCTAATGCTTTCGAGAAAAAAATTTCGCTTGTACACTGGTAGATAAAATGTCAGTTCAATTGGCGGGTTTCACTCCGCTTTGTCTAGAGGAGGAAATTGAATATTTCAAGATTGTGATATGTAAATCGAGTTCACTTTCCCTAACAACTTTCAATGTGAGATATTTTTCTATACCTGCAATTGTAAAGTTTCATTAGTTTTAACTAATGAAATTTTTTCTTCATCAAGTTTTTGCTTCAACTGTTGAAGACGATCAACATTTGAACGTAATTCAACCATTCTTCTTTCCATTTCACTTATTGTTGAATCATTTGTTCCTTGTTGAGATTTATAATCATTCTCCATTTTTTTTAAACGCTAAATAAAAAAAATGCTGTTTTCTCATTTGATGTTGAACAAAAATAAAATTCTACTTGGTTCGTTTCTTCAAGTAAATCTTGATGTATTCGTGAGTGTTGACGTTTTATGTCTTGTTTTTCATTTTCATGATGTAGTTTTATTTCGTGAACTTTACGTTCCATTTCACTTTGAATTTCTTTCAAATGTTCTTGGATAGTTATCTTAAAAATAACAAAAAAAGAATACTCTTACCAATACTAAAATTAGCCTTTCTTACTTGTTCACTTTTAGTTTGCTGCTTTTGATGATCCATTTCGAATTTCAATCGTTGATTTTCTTCGTTAAGCTTCTCTAAAATCATTTCTAATTGTTTATTCCCATCTTCTAATGTATGTAATTTAGTTTCATAACGATTTCTTAATGCTTCTAATTCTGTATTCTTTGTTTCGTTCATTCGTTGAACAGTTGAATCATATTCTTTTTGCCAAATAAAGCGATGTTCACGAAGACGTACTTCAAATTGACGTACAAATGTATCAATATCATTTACACTAGCTCGTGTACTGGTTGTGGTTGCTGTTGTTGGACGTCGAGATGGATGCGTCGGCGGTAACCCGAAATCATTGGTATTCATTGATGGAACTAAATCATGAGCAGATAAAGATCGAAATGGCGGCTGCTGTTGGCTCGATAATGTTGTGGTTGATGATGCAGATAAAATACGCTCCATCGATCGTAAACCATGATATTTATGATCATCATCAAAACTTTCAGATTTTTGTAAAATTGGCGGTGGTTGTTCGTCGAGAAGAAATAAACTTTCGTCGTTTTCAATATTGGAAATCGAAGTCATTTTGAGCATAAACACTTGAGCAATAGAATACTGATAAAAAAACTGCAGACAGATGCACACTCACTCACTCACTCACCCAGTCAAGCAACCGCATCTACCATTAATGATTGAATAAACAATCATCAATATTCAAATGGAGAATTCATTGCATAGATGTCGTTCCATTATGTTCAATTCGAATGGAATTGAAAGCATTCGATTTCATCAGTAGATAAGACTGAGATCACGTGTACTGCATTATTAGCTAGAACATAATCAATATTATCTAACGATTTTTCTTCCTAAGACTATCTTGTCGAGTGTAAATAAGAAATATTAACCTATTGGAAAATCATCGCAGCTACTTTCTCTGTGAGCGCGATTGGCATTGACAGGTTGAATTTATTTAGAAACGTCAAAATTTATTTTCTTTGTTTGATCTAAACATGGCATTGACGTAAAATGATGAATTTTTTAATATTAAGTTGAAATATTTTCTCGCTAAAAAACGACTGATTTATCTCAATTGTTAAATGAACATCATAATCGGAGAAAAACGAAACCGGATGTGCTGATTTCCGCTCAAATTGCCTTTTCTTTTCGAACTAACACCATCATTAAAAGCATGCAAGTTGTTGCATGGCATTTTTCTATGGAAACTCATTGAAATTTTCTCATTATGTTGCTTTTTTTTACTAGCGGCGCATCTCTAATACTATTCGTGATGCAATAGTTTTCAAAACTCACAAACGGAAGTTATTTTTTTTATGTCATGAATAAACATGGTATAGTATGAATACTTTATGGAATAAGAAATTTTTTAAAAACTTTATTTTATTTTTGTTTTAATATCGAGACCATTCAAAATCTAATTCAAGACATAGACGAATAGTTCGAAAAAGAATGTCGAAAGAAGACAAGAAAGAAAGATGCATTGAAAGAATGAGTTAATGGCATTAACCCATTTTGTACCACGAATGGTTCTACTATTTATTTGCTCACATTGCAATTGTGATTCGGTGCACATGCTTCTATGAATTTTTCGATATTTATTACTCTGTTTGTCCGAAAAATACAAGCAAAGATTGAAACTTCATAATAGTCAAGTATTGAATCAATAGTTAAGGTAGGATTGATTGACAGCATAGGTATTTACTGTATGCTTTTAACAGTCAGATAGAAACGCTATTTTATACAAATCAATCGTATTATAATCTTTAGTCTGTCAATACAAGATTGTTTTATGCTCTCTAACGATAAAATCTTTCTTGATAAATTACGTTATCTTTATTTACCGTTTTGTTATGTGATGGGCATTGCGCTGGTATGATGAATATAATCAGTACAACAAAAGAAAAAAGAATTCAAATCTCCAGTAACAACTGATATGTTTCTAACTATAAGCATATGTGATTCTCTTCAAATACTTCTACCGCACACTGAGACAAGAATGAATGTTTGACTTTTGATAACACATCCCTTGATGACTTGTCGAAAAAAAAGTATCTCGAGACTTATTCCTTTTTATTTTGTGTCAGTAATCCATCGAAAATAAGCATAGAAGATGAATCAATAGAATTTTTATTATATGCATATCACATGATGAAAACAACATGTATTATTGCCTGTGAACGTTCGATGTTGTTGTTTTAACTTCTGTTGCTAGTGGAATTTAATTTCGTTAATATTTCGTTTTCTTTTACTTTTTTTTCTCTTTTGGTTTTTTTTTGTTCTTCATTTTATTTTGATTTCTTCTCATTATAATGAAAATGTAAACGACGCGAGTAGCACACACATAGTTCAAGTAGACAAAAAACATCGACATTTATTAAAAATCAAATTTTTTACTCTTTCTTTCATCTTATATATTCATCTTGAAATGAAAACCCGGTCAAACACTTCACTTTATTTTTAAGTTGTCATCGTTCTTGTTATACATATTTGTATGAAATGAGAATTTCATTTGATTCATTGCTCGTTTCATCGACGATATCAGAGCTATTTGATTTTTGTTTTTGTAAATTTATCGGTGTTTCATGTACATAAACACACCCAAAAGGTTAAAGCTGAGAAAATATTCGCTCGTTTAGTTAAACAAATAAATATATTAAACTCATAAAAGGAAGGTGTAAAAAGCCATATTCATTTCTTTTTTTGATTTTTTTGTTGTAGAAATAGTTATAATTATGCCTGCACGACCATTATCAGCTGGAAAAAAAGGTGCAAAGAAGAGTAGCTCACCGCCGGGCAAAAAAGGCAAGAAAAAGTCTGCTAAAGGTGGTGTTAAGGATCCTCATCAAGAACAACTTGACGAACTAATACGTGAACGCGAAGAAATCCGTTCGAAACTGAATCTTGTTTGCTCAAAACTAATGGAAAATGTTAATATGGACGATTATCAAAATGAAATCGACTTGACAAAACAACAACCATCAGATATAGCCATTAATCATCTATTATCTATGATCGATCAAATATGTTATTATCGTGTTGCTTTTTTAAATCTTTTTCAAGAAACTGACGATAATAGAAAGTTTTCTGTGCAAAAAAAGATAACTCAATTATCAGTCGATGAACCCGAAATGTTTCGAAAACGTCTTACACCAGATCAGCGTTTAACATTTGTCACACGTGAACGTGATGTATGGAAAGAAAATGCTCAATTACTGCAAACAATGTATGCTCACATAGGTATGATATTATAATTCTTGTTTAGTCGAATTCATATTTAGATATATACATATATATATATATATATATTCGAAATAAATAGTAAGTATAAGTTTAAAGGCGAGATTTTGCAGGCCTCCAATTATATTTCTTCGAAAACTGCAATAATTAGGATTTTTTATTTTTTCATTCTATCATTCGCAGAAAATAAAAAGACAGTAAAACCAATCTACGGCGAACACATTATCTTATCGTGTAGAGATTTGTGAGATCACTTTTTTTTCAGTCCCCGGAGAGTCTAGATATTCTCTATTTAGAGAAAAATGTTGTAGAATTTCTTCGTTCCAATCCCGGATTTGCACATCTCTCTTCTTGAATTAACTTAGCGAGACGTTAGGGAAGTTAGCACAAGATTCGAGTTTTTCCAGCCCGGATTCGCCTATATGGTTGTGTTGAATTTCATTTTCGTTGTGTTGGATGCAGAATTTTGTGCTGAATCGAATGGTGCAATTTTTGGAGGGGTACCAATTAAAACCTGGGACTTTAGCCGAAAATACTACTTTTTTTTGAAAATATTGTGAAAGTAATTCCAGCCCGGATTCGCTGCTTTAGCTGTGTTGGATCTAAAAATGGTTGTGTTGAATTCGGAATGCAATTCTACGTCGAAAGATGCTAAATTTTTATGAGATCATCGACCAAAGTTCTTCGACTTGGGTGGGACTGGAATATAGATTTGGAGGGATGACTTGGGTGAGATCAGAAACTTTTTGATCGATGACCCCATACAAGTTTAGCATCATTCGATGCAGAATTTCATTCTGAATTTAACACAGCCATTTCCAGAACCAACACAGCTACAGCAGCGAATCCGGGCTGGAATTACTTCTACAAGATTTTCAGAAAAAGCAGTATTTTCGGATAAAGTGCCAGATTTTGATCGGTAACCTCCTTCTAAAATTACACCATTCGATTCAGCACAAAATTCTGCATCCAACACAACGAAAATGAATTTCAACACAACCTTATAGGCGAATCCGGGCTGGAAAAACTCGAATATTGTGCTAACTTCCCCAACGTCTTAGCGAGGGTAAAATTTATATGTGAGTTTCATAATACAGTATCAATGAGACTGCGTAACTAAACTCTATCATAATATAATCAAATATTATTCTTTATTTTCAGTTGATCACGTAGAAATGGATACATTTAAAAAGCCGAGTGCTAAGGCTGCAGATGTTGTTGAAAATCATCGATCAAATGTCGAAGATATTTCTCTCATATTCGCTTCTCCTCTTATACGATCGAGTAAGTTGAACTGTTTGATAATTAGTTACTAAATCTTATTAATACAGTTAATGATGCTCAAAAATTACGTGCAAAGAAAACGCTTGATGATGTTCTCAATAATTTACGTGATCAACATGCATTTTTTGAGCTTGATCAACCACAAAAACAACAAGCAATTACTGATAGTACACATACATTATCCAATGAAGACATCCCACTGAAATCCCATTCATCCGATCGAAGTAACATAAATGAAAGACGTAATCATCAAGTATCCGTTGGAAAACGAAATGTTTCATTTGCCGATCAAGTCAATGTATTTAATGATGATTATGAAACAGATATTGAACGAACAACAGGATTATCATCAACAATACTGTCGAATGAACACAATATCGATGAAAATCTCTCGTCGGGATCATATACGAATTCTTCATCTTTAATTCTATCGAATCAAAATCTAGCCGACGAGAAATATATTGATAGTGATTATTATTCCATATCATCATCATCGTCATTACAACATCAACAATATGATATTCCATCGCAACTTAAATATAATCTACCGACGAAATATCGCCTTCCACTGGCTAATGAAGTATTGGTAAATAAAATGGACTCAAATTTGCGTATGTTAATTATAAAAGAGCTAAGTAAAAGCGGTCATAATGAACGGCCACTGTCACGAATGAGTAAGCTATTCGATGATATTATTTTCTATTTTAATATTTTCTTTCCAGGCTCAGCGTATGGTAATAATAATAATAATGATTCAAGTTCGCGTCAACAACATCGAAGACAAAAATCAAAAAATGCTTCATCCAGTGAATCTCCCGAATGGGTAGAATTTGCACGACTTATTGGAATTGATGAATCTGAAATTGAACATTGGTTATCACAAAATCTTCAATATCCAGCAGGTCGAGTTATTTCGGCCTGGTGTAACTATGCTACGCCTCCGCCGACTGTTTCTGAACTTCACTCTCTTGTTTCATCAAAAGAATTAAATCGACCCGACCTTGCTCGATATATTGAAACGATGTATATTACTGAATAGTATACAAATAATAATAAAAAACAATCATATTTATATTTAACAGCTAACATTTATATGAAAACATTTGTTAATAATTCATCATGTATATCTACAGAAAAGTATTTATTATTTTTCTTGTCAACCATAGGATCGGAATCATGTCGTCGTTGTTGTAAAAATTGACGATTTTTTCTGGGTAATATAAGCCACATATGACTAAGAATACTGGCAACAAGCACTTGAAAAATCACATAAACTAAAAGTTAAGATAATAAATTAGTAGAGTTGAAAGCATAAACAAAGATAGAAATGGTTATCTTACTTGACAGTACTAATGCACATCGAGAACGACTTTGCCCATGTAAATCACTGCAAGGCATTAAATCACCGAAGCCAATGAGATGATTTGTAGTAACAGCAAAATAGGTTAATTCAATCAGGGACCATTTTGGAACGTAAATATGATGTATCAGTAATGTTGGTATTATAATCCAAAATAGAATTATAACACAAGTAACCAATAGAAATGAGACGATAAAACTACGACATCGTGTAAAATAATAAGTAATATGACGATTGATTGCAAGTTGAAATATAATTTGATAGAAAATTGGTACAAGCTGACGATGTAAAATTTGTTGAAATAATAATGCAAAGATTAAACCTATTCCCGTGTAAACGATGCATACAATTTTTCCAAAGGAAGTTATTAAATTCGGCGTACCATAACCTAATCAATGAAAAATAAATATTAGGCCCGAAAAAATTAGTTCATAAAGAGGAAATCCGCTGGTCTATCAATTGAATTTCATTTATGAGAGAACTAGATAAGCTGACAGACTTTGTTTGCAGTTGATATATAACTTAAATTTACATATACAGCGGAAAATTAGCAAAAAACAATGAAATTTTGACTTATGATAGCCAAAATCAAATAATCCATAGAATATCCTGAGAAAAATCCTTTTGTTGTTGACTCAAATATTGAGTGTCAGTTCAAATATTTCTGTTATTAAAATAACTTTTATAGATTGTTTAAGTACACAAAATCTATTAAAAGTAGGCATATTTTTATTGGTCTATATAGGATTTTCTATATAAGTCATGTGCAATAAAAGAAACAAGACTTCGTTCATTAAGGAAAATTAACTCAAAATCTTATTGTTGACTCTTGTTTGCGTGCAGTCTACATTTTAATACAATCTTATTATCCTCTATCTCACTGAAAACTATGATTGCTGTGCGGCTATTGATTTTTTTTTCTACGCCCTCATAATATCATCCCATATTCATGGTGAGAGTAATACCAGATGAAATCTCGCGTGATTAGTGCAATAAATACTCTATAAAAACTACAAATATTATATTCATTTTAGTGCTTTTATTTCCAAGCTTCCAGTTAAGTCTTTCAACAATGAAATTCCTGTCGATTATTACGATTGCTACCGTTGCACTTTTTGCTCTATGCTCAGGTGCTCCTCTTGCTGTTCAAAATTCAGAGCTAGAAGCACGCATTGAAGCTCTTGATTTTCTTTATGACAATGTATTGGGACCCTTATTTAGTGGTTTAGTCTCCAATACATTTGGCCATCTCTCTAACACTCTCAACAATCTCATTCAAACCAATCCATTAGGTCTTGGTAAACGTGAGGTTCAAGATGAAATTCAAGCTCGCATTGACGCTCTTGATTTTCTTTATGACAATGTATTGGGACCCTTATTTAGTGGTTTAGTCTCTAATACATTTGGCCATCTTTCCAACACTCTCAACAATCTCATTCAAACCAATCCATTAGGTCTTGGTAAACGTGAAGCTCAAGATGAAATTCAAGCACGCATTGAAGCTCTTGATTTTCTTTATGACAATATATTGGGACCCTTATTTAGCGGTTTAGTCTCTAATACATTTAGTCATCTCTCCAACACTCTCAACAACCTCATTCAAACCAATCCATTAGGTCTTGGCAAACGTGAAGTTTAAGATGATTTACAAGCATGCATTGGCTGTCTAGTGATTGGTGCTTTTCATTCTTATTAAGACTTTAAACTCTCTTGTTTTTGAATTGGAATTTCCTTTCAAAATAAAAATAAAAATAAGATAGATGGCGCCTTACCAACGGTGGTAATCAGAGATGTGACAAAGAATAGACCTTGTCCAAATGTCCATTTAGTTGTGTTTGTGTTTGGTAATGATGAATGCCATAGACCCGTATGTGACTTATCCAAAAAATAATCAACATAAGGGTATAAATCATGTTCTGGAAAGAGGAGAAATAGATTCAAAAATGATTTTTGGTTAACAAACTTTATTGACCTTTTAGGCATACACTATTTCGTTGTATAAACTGTCGAATTTGATTATTTACTTGTATATGTCGTTGTTTTTCTTCAACAGCATTTAATTCATAGAATATTAAGGTACCAAATAATAGAAATATAAGATAACCAAAAATAAAATGAGATAATTTAAGCATAAGAATAAATTTTCCCAGTGTCAATCTAAAACATAATAGAAAACAACGGGTAATTTCATATGTTTGCCCTGAATTTATTATTATCGAAGCAATATTTTTTCATTGAAACACAAGTTTTTTTAAACGATTAAAACGGAAGTAGTCAGATACCGGACAGCTTATTTTTCAATATTCGTATTTACTATAGATGATTAACATTTATCAGAGATTGCACAAGAAGAAACGAATTTATTTCCAATAATATATAGAGAGCAATGATCTTTAGGAATTAAACATGGATAATCTCGAGGGTTTCTTTTCTCCTTGACTTATTTTTTTGTTGAAATTCTGAGCTACTGAGCAGTCGGTTCTCTATCTCGACCTCTGCTCCGAAATTCGGTTAATTGTAGCAAAAATCTTCCGATTTTACTTTTGAGTCATTGACTTGACCCCCAAACAGTAACCTATTATCGCTTTATTTTACTACAAATGACTGAAGTGATAAATTTAGTTATTAAACGAAGCTCTACGCTAATAAAATTTAACGTATTACAGAACGCACTAAAAAGGGTTACAGTTTATTAATTGTATTTAGCGTCTCATAGTGATGTTTTAAGAATTTTACAATTAACAATAGAAACACTTTTATTTTATCTTTCATGACTAATACTAGTTAGGTTTGCTCGATATTTTTAAGCTGCCTGATGTGTCATTCGATTAAAAAGCATAAGTAAACTAGAATAATTTTTCGCTTCATTAATTGGTTATGTTTTGATCGATATTAAATTCATTTTTGACTTTATTTTCTTTGAGAGATCTATACTCGGATGATATTGATGGTGAGAACAAAACACAGAGAAGCAAGCGTTCGTGCGAATTATCATCACCTGCAAAAGTAAAGCGTACGATCCATTTAGAAGTACTAATATTGACTTCCAATAATAGATCTTTGTGCTGTTATCAAAAAAATATTCGCTAATCATGGCAAGTCTTTTAATAAAAACAAAAATTCATCCTAATACCTTGTGATTATATTGCTGTAGACTTTGAAGGGACAAACTACTTCAGTAGAAGTAAGCGTCTTCCTTAGCTAGATTAGATTAGAATCTAAATTAAGCATCACTCTATTCCGCCATAGAAATAATAATGATGAGAATGTTCGCATAAGAAAATATCTGAAACAGAGATACCTACAGAACTGGAAGAACCGGTCAAAGCTGCGAAAAAATATTCATCTTCAATTAGGAAATCGTTTTTTTACCAACACTGATGCTGAAAGCTTTAATCAAAAATGATGATCATATTTATTGGTAAAGTATCTTGTATAGTTAAAAAGCAAATTGACAATGATTATCCATAATTTTAAATAGAAGGTGTGGATATCAATTTGGTTTCTTACCTGTAATCGAAAAAGTCACCCAGAACCAAAAAATACTTCGACTAAAGATCGGAACACTTTACTGTGCTGATAGACCTTTGATTTTATTGTAAATTGTTTCATTTCAATGTTTATCCAAGCACTCTCAAGCTTTCATTCTATATTCATAAAGTCAAAACCCAATGAAAAGGATAGAAGAAAATAGATGGCGATATATTTACTAGTCGGTATTACACTTAATTCAACAGATACTATTAACTAATAGATTTTATACCACTGTTTCTATCGTTTTATTACTATAGATTGCAGAAAACTGTGAGTGTGGCTCTAAATTTTTCTTCACACATCAATGAATACTCGTGGTTTGGACAGATGACCTTTGCTGATAATTAGCTTTCCATTTTTGATATTAACTTAACTAGGTTTTGTTTCTCTCGTATGCTTGAAATTATATGATAAAAAAAATCATTTTTTTACTCACCAACAGCTGTCATAAAAAATTGATCAACCATTCATCGTTGCCTTTCATGAAAATCAAATATTCATGTATTAGTTTTCTCTAACGAATAAAAGAAACAGACGTGCTATTTATTTATTTTACATACTATATAACATTCGGTTCAAACACCATGTGGATGGAAAGCAAAATAAGATCATAGGAAATTTTCTAAGAAAACTCTAACAATACAGGAAAAAAGCAGGGCTATCATTCTATTATTGATGTAAAAAATATTAGCACCATTACATAATCATTCTTTCTATAAAAAAAAAAAAAGAGAAAGAAAGAAATATTACATTATTCAATTAACTCTTTGAAGTCTCAGTTGTCATAGTTGCCGTATTGTCGGTTTCATTTATTTGTCGACGGTATGGTTGACCAACTGGTACATTACGACTACCATAAGAATGAATTGATACTGAACGTGGTAACCAAAGCAATCCAGATTTTTCGGATGTTGATAAACGTTCTTGTTCGTTTTCAACTTCTTGTTCACTTAGAAAAAATTGTATCAAACGAAGTTCGGGAATCAGTGAAATCATTGCCACAACTAACATCATAATTGTTACACCAACCAATAGATAAACTAAAAGGCAGAGGAAAGCGTTTTGTTTTTCGAAAAACTTAAATTTTCATTTACCTGTTAAACATATTTTATAAAAAAGTCGATTACGTTGTGTTGGCGAATCTCCAGCGACGATGTCTCCCAGGCCAATTGTTGTCAATGAAATAAAACAAAAATAGAATGCATCAATAAACGACCAGTTTTCTTCAAGATACGTGAATACAATGGATGGAATAATAAATAGAAAAATAAGTGAAAATATAAGAATTATTGATAAATGTACAAAACGAATTTTCGATTCAGATCTTGTATCAGATGAAAACCTTACACGAAACCATATGTAAGTACTATTGAGTAGAATGAGAAGTTTTCGAACGATAATAGTGAGTAATAGTAATGTCATGGGAACACCAATAATAGCATATATAATACAGATTATGCGACCAGTGTCTATATAGAAAACGATAAGAAAAACTGAACTTTCACAAAAAATATATTTACCTGACAAAGGACTTACATGGCCATATCTACTCAAACAATCGAGAGAATAAAATAAATATGAAAAATTTACAACAAAAAAAATTCTTACCCGATCGTAGTGACAACCGTCACCGCAAAGAAGAATGATTGTGCGAAAGACCAATTATCCACGCTATCAAAGAAATCAGTCGAAAGTAAGACTTCACATTAGTTTTCCTGTCTAGAGTTCAGAAGAAAGTGCGCGAACATTTAGAAATTTCCGTGTAAAATGAAATTTTATCTGTGAGCACATCGATTTATGCTATAACTAAAAGATCTGAAGGACTTCATTTGATATGTAATTGAAAATAGTCTCAAACAAAACTATATACTAATGGTTTATCAAATGATTATTCATTTTGTTCTTGAATATTTCTTTGTATAGTGACTGATGAAAGTACTGCAGTACTTAACACTCGCAGCGAAGTGATGAATAACTTTTAGATGTAGAACTTATTAAAATAGCTATGCGCGGACGAAACTTTCTCTCCACTTATCGATGTACTACACGGAATTCTACGGCACTCATTCAGATTTTTAGAAGTACGTATTGGAAAATTTTCACCGATAAACAAAAATTTAATTAAATTCTTACGTAGTAAAATTTGTCCGAGCATCTACTCCGTGTTTATTCGCATCAAGTAATGTAACAATAAATGATTCGAAATCATCTTCTAGAAAAACAAATAATCTTATTGTTGATTTGTCCTCGTTCGAGACAAATATGATTAGTCAAACCTTGTACACATGGATATTTCCCAAGAAAATCTTTTCGTGTTTTTGCCATTTCATTAATAACCATTTGTTCTGTTGGTTGTTCAACAAATGAAAATACATAAGCACCGAAACACAAATAAAGAATAAATAACAATGTGAAAAGAAACAAATTCAATTTTGTTGTATAACGATTTAGCATGATTGTATCATACACACAGAAAAACAATATCTGCAATAGGAAAAAGATGTTTTGTTTTTCTTCTATTCGGTCTTTTATTTTATTCTTCTTTTCTTTATGATGTTTCTCATGATTTTCACGGACAAACAATAAACAAAATACAAGAAAAAAAGGCAAATTTCATTGATTATTGTTCGCGCATATCACGTAAACGACGTACAGCTGAACGAACAGCAGCAGCTGTTGATGTTGAATAAACGTAAGCGCCGCCAGCAACAGTCTTTTGACATGAACGGCATTTCCAGATGCCAACACATTTACGTTTCATATTGTCTTTACCACAAAATGAACATGTGTATTTAGAATGTTGAGTTACTTCCATCTTTTTAACCATCTTACGCAATGACGCACCGTAACTAAAAAAAACATAATCCACGATTAATTATAAATTTGAAGATCTATTTCTTCTATTTACCGCGTGCCGTATTTTCCGACAATACCGACTTTCTTGGTTCGTTTGGCCATTTCTGTTTTAGATTATTCAACGAACGATGTAGTAAAAGCTGTGTTCGATCTGAAAGAATTAAAAAGAAACTGAATTACTCGTACATGAATACAATTAAATCGTCTGAAGATTAAGTATTCTGGAAACGATTAGCTCATAATTCAAAACTAACTGTTATTTCAACAACAAAAATATGTTTTGTTAAACAGTATACATTTGGATGTAGTACATCTATTGGTGTATGAAATTGTCGAATGAAATATTCAGTTGTTGGTTGAATCGTATACTTATCAAATAGTTAGATGATATTTGAAGGGAATATTCACAAATTTCTTTTAAGAAAATGAAAACAATTCAAGACAAACATCGATAGACTAGGGTTCATGAGCTAGCTTTGATAGTCGCGATGATAGTGGATAAAAAACTGATTTAGACCACCACCATGCTCTCAGTTTACCATTATAGAGGACGCTGTCAACTAAAAATTTCTTTTTTGTTTATTTTTATTACGCTTTTGCAATTCTGATTCGTTACAACTATCCATTCGAAAAATCCAATATATACCTTCATACGTATGGAATGGAATGGAATGGAATGAACACTTCAATATATCTAAAATAAGATAAAATGTTGTATTGGAACATGACAGGATGTCTCCTGTGCAGTGTTTCTAATAGAAATCTGAAATAAAATGTTTTTGTACATTTTGTTTACGTGAAAAACGTGTATCTTCACCCATTGATTTTATAAACAAAGCGTATCAAAGTGTAAATAAACGAAAAGAGTTCAGATAATCTAGAAAGATAATAAGAAAAATTCTTTTTTTATCTGTTTCATAGAGAAAGAAAGTCACATAGATTATAAACAAAACAACCAAGCAAGAGCATTACTAGGAGTTGAATACTTTTCATTCATAGCATGTACGGTTTTTGATGAATTAATAAATACATTTTTACGTAAAATTTTGACCTCACAATGTGAATCTGTTGATACAGCAAGTGATGGCAACGATGGCAATAATTTAACTACGTCCAAGCATGCAAAGATTTAACGAAATGCATTTTCGTGATCTGAAATCAAAGTGTTATTTTCTTTTTCAAAGTGTAAGTCTTACATTTTTGCTTTCTGAGCAACGCGTAAATCAGAGTATATTTCTGAAACAGCAGATGTTCCGGACATTTTGCTCTTGCTGTGTACACTTGCTGTTAGAAACACTGCTCCTGTGTGCAGCCAGACATTGAATTATGAAGTAATCAGGAATCGGATTTATATCTGGAAGGCGATGAACCATTTTTACTTTTGCATAGCAAAATGTTCATTCGCCATATAAGATTTACAAATGAGTATAAATAAACTTCAAGGGAAAAGTAGCATACAAAAAGACAAGTAATTATATATGAATAAGTTTCTATCCAAAAGACTCAATTGCTGAATGAATAGCTTAATATCAGACATAATAATTAGCCATTCAGCAAAAATAATGGATTAAAATACATCCGACCGCTAGATATTATTTTGTAAACGAACTATTTCGATTTTTGTTTCTCAATAATATAAATGATCTACTTTCTCTCTCAAAAAAAAAAGAAAAAAATTCATTATTGGTATAGAAATGCTTGGTGTGTTCATTGTACAATTATTCGTGTCTTTTCTTACTTACTCAGACCTACATTTATTTATTGATTTTACTCATTATTCCTATTCGAAGTGTAATATATTCAATGCTGTTTCACTAAAAAAAACTTTCTCTACATATCAATGTGACCTTTTCGCATGGCAACCAATTTATCTTTGAATGATACATCAAATGAATCATTCATGTGACATTACTAATAGGAAGATGATTGACTCCAACACCAATCGACAAAATCACATAAAATATATTAAAATCAAGAGCAAATACACTTCGAATTCAAGCATATTCTTAAGAAATAGTCAAATGCGATCTCTTGTATTCGCACAGTATTTTCTATTGCATTTTTTCTTGTTTTCCACTGATAAAATCCTCAAGTGATACTATCTAGTCTCCTTCAATTGCTATGTTGATTTAGTCAATCGAAAAATTAAAAGAAAAGAAAATAATATAATAGATTATCTCGACCGTAGAATGCAGCATGATTCGGTAAATCGTATTCTTTTTATCGAAGGACGAATCGATGAGGGTAATCGCATTTTTTATTTTAAGCAACATACACATTCAAACTATTTTATAAGTAAAGGAAAGTATTCTTTTTTTTGGTTTTCATATAATTTGAAAAATGCCTTCGGATGCATGTGGTAAATGTTTACTTTTTATTGTGGTTCGTAGCTATATGTTTATTCGTGTATGTTCTTCTAATATATATCATATCTAGGCAATTATTTTACCCCCTCTTGCTGTATGGATTGCTCGCGATAAAATATGTTCATGTATGGTCTGCCTTAATATTATATTGACATTATTAGGATGGATTCCGGGTAATTTTTTACAATATTTTCTAGTTAACAATATTCATTGTTTTCGTTGAAGGTATTATTCATGCATTTGCCGTTATCTGTTGTTGTTCACGTTACCAAGTTCATGATACAGCTTAGAACTCAATTGCATATTTTTCTGCCTTAATATATTGACTCTATAGAAATTTACTTCAATATAACTTTTTTCTATTCTTTACTTCAGACGATAAGCGGTAAAAAAACTAAAAATGAATTTTTCTTTTTTCGGTTCATTCTTCAGTGAACATTTAGAAGTTTATATGGTAAAAGCTAGAGATTACATAATGCATAGAAAAGAAAGGGCAACGAAAGAAAAATTAAAGTTACGCATCATTCGCTTCATTTTCGTTTTATTCTTTTCTTTTATGTTCATCGATTTTTATCTTCATAATCAAATAAAAATTCAACATATTGAAAATGATGCCAATGCTACCCATGTGTGATTCTCGTGCTATGCTAATGCCTATGGGCCAAGGAATGCCCGGCATGGCACCTGCTATGGTACCAATGATGCCAATGGCAGGTGGTCCCATGCATTATCCAATGAATAATTTAAATATGTTTTCAGCAACTTCTATTATGAGTGAATATGATAGACATATGTATGGACGATTTCGACATGTTGAACGAGAACATCCACGATATCGACATGCTCCATTTGATTGGTATCGACCACCTAAACTGCGTCACAATATTATTCATGAAGATGCAGCTGTCGTTACACATGATGGCCCAGTACCTATTGGTGATTTTTATCGTTATTATATCTACGGTGATGAAGATGATGATGATCAGGATGATTATGATGATGATGATGATGACGAGTATTATGAGGATGATGAATATTCATCATCTTTTGATTCCGATGACTATGATGATACAGTAGATCCATCATATGAACAAAGAGCAGCTGGTTACCGACGAAACCCTCGAGAAGCTCCTGATTTTGCTGATGAAAACACACGTATGAATCGACCGTCTATGGGTAGAAATAATTTGGGTGCAGCTAATGCTAACCGTCGAACAACTTTTCCAACAACTACAGCTCGACCAGCCAATCGAACGTTAGGTCGTAACGATAATTTTGATGATACAGCCTCAGTGAATAGTACATATGACAATTAAACCAGACTCGTTGTTTCATTTATAAACAATTATTTCTCTTCTTTTTTTTTTCATAAAAAAATTTCGTTTATGTACAAGATTTGAGCACACACACACACACACACACAATATACAATTGAATAAATCTTTGTTAATGCATTCGTTCTGGAATATATGGAGACGATGATATGCGTAATAGTTTTCTTCTATCACTATTTGTATTTAGTCTGTTAGATGAGCGATATATAGGTGCACTTGGTTTTCGTGTTATTCGAGCTGTTGTATTTGGATAGTGTCTTAATAATGAAAGTTTCTTTGCTCTTTCCAGATTTTGCTTTTGACGACGTCGTTTACAATGAAGAATTTTTTTCATTGTACGATTAAATGCTAAACGATATTTACGCGAAAGCAAATGATAAAATATTGGATTAACTGTTGAGCCAATATAATAAAAAAGTCCACTGATAAAATAAAATATCGTTATTGCACGTCGTTGAACTAACGATAAATGTGCATCATTTAAACGGCTTGTTATTAAGCGTTGAATATGAAGTGGAGCATAACATATGATAAAAGCAATGACGACAGCAACTAGGAATTAGAAAAAAAAAGAAAGATGGTAGTTATAGCAACCAATTACAAATGTTCAATTATTGAATTTCACAGGGAAATTTTTCTGATATCTACTTGTCACAACCATAAGCAAAGATCTTGTCTCTGTCGGTGTGCTTTTGTATTCATGTCAAACTGATTCATTAATTTAGCAATGTCTTTTTTCATTATAAAATCTAGTTGTTCTCTATTGGATTCAAATATCGAATGTATGTCGCTACTACCGACCTTTCATGATGATACAGCGAATTTAAATCGATGTAGTTTTTGATTGTTTCTCGTTTATTTTTCCTATTTCAGATCCGATCTCGTCGGATTATGGAAATACAGAGAAATCGAAATAGATTACTTTAAGCTTGCAATTTATAGTATAAGTATTCTACCAAAATGAATAGGCTCTTATCTCAACTCAGACAATAAATACGTTGAATCCTAGTTGAAAATAGATTTTTATTTCATTGAAAATTTATTCTTAGTTTTGATAAAAATAGACGCTGCTATAACACTTAGTTAGTCTAATTCAATGAAGCACAAAGTTCAGATAGATGTAGTTTTTCTTAGACTCTCGTGAGAATTTCCATCAAAATGATGTTTCAACAAAGAAAATAATAACTTAAGGACATACTTAACATTTAGTCATATTTTACAGTAAAATCAAGACAAAACTAGATTAGTTTTATTATTTTTGGAAACAAAAAGACATTTTCATTTGCAACACTATTTTTTCCGACATGCATTGAATTAAAGAGCAAGCACCAGACACTCAATCATTACATATCATTTTACTTCTACATTGGATCTTACAACTTATCATGCAATGTCTATAAATTTTTCTCGAAATACGTTGAAACTATCTAGGTTCAATAGACAGTCCGAGATGAAATAGCATATTTTTGCTTAGTAGCTGGAAAAACTAAGATTGTAATTTGAGAAGGATATTATCAAATATTTGGATCCATTGGAAACTCTCGCATCTTTGCTTTTAAAAGAAAAAACTTGAGACTCAAAATTTCTTAAAACCACTAATCGAATAGTCATGATCGACTTCATAGATAAATAGTCGAACGCAAACAGAATACAAAATTCGTAAGATTTTACGAAATATGCGTAATTAAAAGATTCACATGCCATTCGATGAACCCCATATTAGTTTTAAAATATAATTTTTTTACAACCCTTGTAACAAAAGAAAACGCTGTGTTATACTCATGAAGAATTCCGCAGCCCTAAAAACACTACTAGTTTCTAGTATTGAACTGAAAAAAAACAATATTTTATTAATCCTCAAAGAACATCTTTAGATATCGAACGTTGACCTAAAAAATAAAAAAGACAAATTACTTCCAAATGATCCACTTACGATCAATTTTTTATCTAGAAAGTTCATGTCTTAACAGACACGTTTTATTTATAGGTTTGATGTTCTTCTTTAGCATATGCTTTTAACCTTCAATTAATTAAAATTCAATTGCTGTATCCTCATCGAAAGAAAACATCTTGAGTTCTGAATCATTTTGGATAACCTACTAAGCGGACTGTTAGTTTGGTAAATTTTCGCTTGATTGAAAGTAAAAAAATTGCTAACGACTGATTCAAGAAGTCCTTTGTTCAGCTTCTATCTTCATAATCGGATGGTGTTCTGAGACTGAAACACGCGTGTATATTTCCTGTACTATTTAATAAATATTATTTTAATGCAAATTTCATCACACATAATGTGTTTTTTAACCGATATATATATATATATCTTGTCAAGCGCTACCAAACGCCAAGTACTTGACTAAGTCCTTAGAAGCGTATTCTTGAGAGTCAATTTTCGACTGTTTTCAAAAAACAAATACTACAATTAGAATCAGCGCCAAAATAATTAATCAATTAATGTGTATCAAATTTTTTACCTGTACCCAGGAGAATGAATCCTAGCCTAGGATTCGATGAGTTCCGATCGGTTCCTATTGGAATCCGACGGAGCTCTTCGGAAGGCACAAGGAAATTATCGGATTATCATCGGATTCCTGGTTCCGGAATCGATATCGGATCCTAATATCGGAAACTAATAAAATCCGACAGTAACCGTCAATCGGAACCGGAATGATTCGGATTTCATTGGTTCCGACAATCGGATATCATTGGAAATACGACTGTCGGATTAATTCACCTGGAATTAAAACTTTTTGAAATTCTGGCACCTGATTCGAGTTTCTCGACCCCGATTACCTTCGGTCAACCCTTACGAATAAAAACTTTTTCTTTTTCTCTTCTTAAAAATGCGAAAAACAAAATTTCAAAAAACAAACATCGGACTCGGATTCCCCGACCTCAAAAACTGTCAGACAAACGTTTTAGCGCATTTCCATGAAGGAGGTCAACAAGGCATCTTTTTTGTTCTATGCGAACGAAACGTATTTAACTCGTTTTTCGTAATACTCTCCTTTCAGTAGAGGGTATAAATAAAAAGTCTATTCAATGTGTCATCGAAACAGAAATGATTGAGACCTCGTGCTCGTTCATTCGTGCGTCCTATTGCTTTCACATCCTTCATACAGATTAAATACTTACAAAAAGCTGTTAGCAAACTCCCGGCGGAATTAAAAATTTGAAATACGACGCCGCTTCTGTTATTCATTTTAGAGTGTTAATTTTGCTTTTATCTATCGAAAACATCTTTCTTGGCCATCGTTTGTCTTGAGGCTGCAGACATGCACTGAGAAAACATTTCATTCATTATAACGAGACTTAATTGATTTATGCCATCAATGCCTATGATCAGTCGTTTCTCACTGATCTGTCACGTGTATAATGAGCTCCTGTAACAACCTCGGTTGAGTTTATTGTGTATCGTTATATAGTGTCACTTTCCTATTGAGTTGATTGTTCGTGCATGTTACTACAACCGTACCCTGTCATCGGGTGTTGTATCATATTTTACTCTTCTCTCTTCGATATGTATATACTACTCATTATGTAACCGTCTACTGACTCTCATCATGTTGAGTTCATCTTTACTCCTGACATAGTCATATATCACTATTTAGTCTAGCACGTGCTTCTACTTTGATCAATGTTCAACGTTTGCTCGTTCTCTTTGTCTTGCTATGATATCTATTATTTTCCTCTATCGTTCTAGTTACTTCTTACGTTTTTGCCACTTCTGTCATCAGGGGATTTCCAATGAACTTGAGACGTCTGTAATGATCTACTTAGCGCGCTATTCTGAGACATACAATGATCCACTCTTGTTTCGGAAAATTGAAATTTGAATAGAATGCGTTCACTACTTTGTAGATATAAGACGGCTATCTGATTTAATGATGATCTTTTTTCAACTTGAACAAAAAAGGTTAAGGCGTATATTTCTATTTTTCATAACTCTTGGATCTAATAAACGGCATACAGCTTAGATGTCTTAACGGAAGTTTTTATGTCACACCGATATGTTCCAATAAGAACGCAATTTCCTTAATGAAAGTTTTGAAGCATACAAATTCTTTGAAGACAGACTAAACTAAATTAAAATGATTCGAATAATAGAATGTTCTATTGCATCATTACAACTAGCAAAGATCGGCTTACACTACTTCGAGATGTATATCTAATGTAGCATGATAATGTAGAAATTATCATTGTATTAATGATTCTACCTAGAATATTGCCGAGTAATAGCAATGGTTATCGAGGTATTTCAACTCATACTCATTTATAGGCCTAGAAAACGTGTTGCCTTTTTCCAACGTCAAAATTCATAGTTGGAATACAATAAACTTACAAAGCATTTTAAATGCTGATTTTTTCATCGCTTGTATATGTAATAATAAACCAGATGGAGGATAATTTCCATTATGAAATGTCATTTGCCGTGTGAAGGTCAACGTACGTGATAATGACTGAGGAACTGATTGAAACCGTTGTTGTTCCGAACGATAGTCAATACTTCGATTGTGTTTTGCGCCCATTGATAAAGAATTCAAATCGGTTGTTCCAGCTGCAGAATAATGTACTTCATGAAGTAGACCAATATTATACAATCGGCGTGCCATCAATGCATAAAGAATAAAAAGTATAAATGCTGGTAAAAGAAAAAAACAAATTGCTGATATGTGCAAACATATTGTAACAAATATTTGAAATTTTTCATCGAAAGAACACTGTTGCTCGATTTTTTTCGTAAAATAAAAATATGGTGTCGATGACAGTATAGCAATAAACCATATCAACAATTGAGCTTTAATTGCACGTCGTATGGTTGAAAACGAGGATATTCGAAATGGACCACATACAGCTAGATAACGTTCAATGGTAAAAGCACTGAAACGAATAAAATTAAAATAAAGATTTATACTGAAGATTTCGTTTTACCTTATGGTTAATATTGATGCATTTGTAGAAGTTTCGGCGAAAAGTGCACGTATTTGACAGCCAAGATGGCCCCAAGGAACTTCGATAGGTAAAAACTAGACATCAAAGATTTGTGTTTAGTTCAAACAACAACCGGAGATGGAAAAAAAAACGTTCTTACTGAAATTTCAAATGGTAAACTAACAATTAATGGTAGGATATCACTGATTGCTAGATTAAGTAGATAACAATTAGTAACTGTTCTCATATCTGAATTAAGTGAAATAATTAATATCGTTAGGATATTATTACCAATGCCAGCACAAAAGATAGGTATATAAAGTGAACCTTGTATGATATCTAATGTGTGAGTGAAAACTTCATCGTATGCATATGATGAATTATGATTAATATTTGTTGTGTTCATTTTTAATGATAAATATAACTATTTCAATATAACTACTTGTTGAACATGTACGTTATTGTCAAGATCTATTTAAGAACATCGCCGTAGTGCCTTTGATTAACATCGGGTTATTTCTTTATTCTGAAAAAAGCAAAGAAGAAAAGCAACAACAACAAAAAAGATTAAAAATATGTCAAAAATAAACGAGAAAATTTCAATCAATCGCAATTACCTACGATAAAATACGTAATTCAATAACATACGTTTCATGGCACATCATATAATAGTAAGTTTGTTTTTTATACGGTGATCATAAACAAAAATGGATTGATAAGAATAACCGCAAGCTATTTTCTCGTCGCGGAAGTTAGATATATTTATATTAACTTTTGTATTGTCTGCTCTGAAGTATCAGCTTTAGTCTATAATCTTCTTGCTACGAAAGAGAAAAGAAAGAACTCAATTTTCTTCTTCTTTTATACTAAGAATAAACTTGTCTTGTTATAATAGAAAAAACCTTCTCATCAGCGCATTATTTTCTTTCTTTCTGGCCCTTAAAAAAGTCTCCAAATGCACGAGATCCTAAAAAAAAAGAAAAGAGGACTTATCATTTTTAAGTATACTTACGAGAACATATAAAATGATTGTTACATTCAGATTTATCAGAAAATTTAAATAAGTATGTGTTCAAAAGATTAGTTGGATTAAGATAACCAAAATTTATATCACGAATATAAGAATATAAAAGCAATGGAAAACAATTCATCTAGTTTTGCTTTTCATTTCACCAAAACGACCGATACATGTCAAGAAAATCGTCTTGTGATATCTCAGACAGATCCGCCTTAGATGTTATAACATGAACAATGAATGAAGTTACTATTAGAATACTAATAAGCATACAAGAGCAGACGTGAGAATTCGAGTGTGCAGTTCAACAAGTCAGTGTCTGACAAAAAATGAATACAAAGTGCATTTAAAATAAATCTACCCATAAACGTAGAAATAATTTTTATGTGAGACTATTCTTTAATAGGAATGAACTATAACAACTTATTCGGAAATTCTCTATTTTTTAGAATCTTCTTAAATTAACTTAATTACATGAAAATTAAAATGTTAATTTGAATCTGAGTTAATGTAGTACAAAAAAGAACTTCACAATGTGCAAGGTACTTTTATCGTCTACTAAAATAATGACTATCTGTAAGAAATCTCTCAGAGGATTCGTTAAGCGAACTGTAAAGTGCATGAAAGCACGCTACGGCATACATATTTTTGATGATAAAATCGAGATCAAATTATATTATCAAGATTGATTCATTCCTTTCATCGTATCTAAATTTCATTCTGATAAAGCACACATATGAAAAACAAAATTTACTTAACATTCAAAGCAAATGGCGAGACGTTTGGTACTGGATATAGACATGACGACATAGAACTCCTTTCATCTCCAGATAATTCTCGTGTATAGATAGCTTCTTTAGTGTATTTATTCTATAAAAAATAATCGACCATATGGTTGGGCAAATCCTCAAAAAGCATAGTGCAACATGAGAACAATAACGATTCACAGGAGAGAAAAAGAATATTTAATCATTGCTTCTCATTTATTATCAAAAGAAGACAGCATATTGAAATATTGGAGCCGAATCAGGCACGTATTCAGCCAAAAACCAAAGAAGCGATCACTTTTTGGCTTATAAAAATAAGTGTTGGATATTAAAATAAATTTTTTTCGTGGTCTATATCGTCTTTTATTAGAAAAAGAAAAAATAATCATTACCGTATTATCAAATTACTATACCAGTAGGTCAAACAAACTTCACTGATGCAACAAAAAGGAAATCCTTTTTTTTTCTTATTCTCCTTCATCAATATTTTAAATAATAGTACTTATATACTTGACAAAACACGACTATGAAATGCTGTTGTTCACTCGTAAAATATGGAAAAGACCCCGCAGACAATGTTCAGCATAGACAAAATATTGTTACATTTACTAACACAATTTAAACAAAAGACTTGTCTGTCAAGTTTCAGAAAAAAGAACATTTTCCTAAATAGGCTTTCACACAAAGAAACACACGATAAAATTAATTGCCATAATTTTTTTCCTTTTTTCACTCTGGTTGTCTTTTACTGAACATATATTATAGAGATCCTTTTTTTTTTGTATTGTCATTTGAGTTCCATTGAGATTATTATAAATAAAAGATACACTAGCGATCGATCAATCATAAATTAAGAATAACAATAATACCGAGAATTGCTTTTTTTATATGGCTGCTAATTAGCTTTATTTAAGAGAAAAGTTGTTTTGTTGTTCAAATACATTTGTGTCAATTTGACAAATGGCTAATTTCAGTACGACCGAGAAAGCTTCTGGCCGTCAACTAGCGAGAGTCATTTTCACAGACTATTCATTATAATTAATTTTTAGTTTTAACATTGAAATATATGTAGTGACGATGATTCACTAGCGTCATGAAGCTCAACCTTTGAACTATGACATTACAGTCAAAACTTACCAGAAATTTTTGCCTTGATTACAACACTTATCTATGATTTTGTTATTCATCTGAATATTCTAATTGCAAGAGTGGAACATATTGAAGCCTGGTGTTGAAAAGAGCTGGAAAATCTGCATAGAATGAAAAGCCAAAAAAAAAAGGAATCTTATGTTTCTCATATCTGATATTCAAAACGATATATAGTATTTTATTATTGCACGATGAATGCTTGTCGCTTCATGTTGTTGTAGATAATATTCCGATGCACATTAATGATTGTCATTTGAGAAGTTAATGTAAGAACGAAATGATTGATGTGAAAGAGAGTGACAAAAACAACAACAACAACAACAACAACACACTGTTAAAATAAATTTATGCGTATATAGCTGTTAAATGTTGATCGCCGCCTAGAAAAACAACTTTTGGATTGTATGATGTCGAATCGGAGGATGCAGTAAATGGCGAACTATCATTAACATGGTCATCATTATACGATAGTACAGTTGATGATAGTTGAACATTATTATGAAAAACTCCATAGATAATATTATCGTAATTACTCGCTGTCGGAATATTTGTTTGTTGTTTCCTTTTGTAGACAGTATCAATCGATGAATCGTAATGTTTTTCCCTACGTTGCCGACGTAATATACATATACTTATTCCCAATATGATAATAATCACAAGAAGTATAAGGCATGAAGCAATTATTGAAACAGTAGCAATATCAAACGATAAGATATGATGTAATTTATAATAAGTATTTTGGCAAGTTCTCTGAACACAAATATCTCCTAATGGACATTGAATAAATGAATTGCACGGTCCACCTATTCGACCTTCACAATAAGCTGATAAAAAACAAAATTCGTTTAAACAATGATCAGTATCGAATATTTACCTCGACCGTCATCGGATAACTTTTTGCTTGATAAATCTTTTGGACATGCACAGGTTGTCGATGAACGATTTTCATGACACCATTCCATACAATGAATATCTTTCATGGTGCACTGACTTATTTTTTCTACAGCACGAACACATACGGACTGTTGATATTTATTTAGATAAGACTGATACGATGAACGACATGTACAACGATGTTGTTCAAAATCACATTGATAAACATTCTGTGGATAACATAAATGTTCACTTGAACAATAATCATTTAACGTTGATTCTATTCGTAATTTAATTTGAAATAATTCATCATCACTAGTTCGATATGTAGTCTTTGTTGAACAATCGAGCATTGCTAAATTTTTTAAATAGGTTACGCCCGATGATAAATAGATTTTATTTGCATCAGTAAATGTTGTACGAACAAATTCGCCACGTAATGTTAACGAGGATTCAACTGATGTCCAATTTAAGAATTCACTATTTGAACATCGAATGAGATTTAAATTAAAACTTATCAACGGTTTTTGTTCTTGATTACGTGTGAGAATTTTAATAAATAAATTTTCTTCTTCTTGATTATCCAATAGATATGGTACGATCATTGATAATGTTCGATTGTCAATCGTCATATTAGAAAGAGAAGTATGAAATGAACAATTCGAAAGAAGAATCAACTGATTAGGAATACAAACTGTATTCTCTGAATGTCCGACGATGACAGAAACGGCATATATCATAAGATAAAGAAGAAATAAACTATTAAACAGCATGAGATTTTAATGCTTGTCCATAAATCCACGCGATTTGGTTGGAAAGCATTACGTTCTATATTCCTAGAAAGGTAAATACAGATTTTTCTTTTTGTAAAAATGAGTGAATGTTTGTCTACTATAGTTAATCAAATAGAAATATTGAATGACGAGCTCAACATAGAAGAATATCGTTTATGGTAGATAATTGTTGAACGTATGTGTATACATTATATTTAGCTCGTACACACGTACGCAAGAATTAACAATGATAACTTTCATAAGCTTCATTAGACAACTGGAAGAGGATATTAGAGGCATAATTATCAATAGAGAAGAAGAAGAAGAAGAAGAAGAAAAATAGTTTAGCCTATTGAGAAGTAGATCTCGTCAATATTCTTGACTATTTATATATGTTCTATGAACATTAGCAATGCGATGAAAGCAAATGGAGGAAAGTTTTTTTTGTCGGTTCTATTAAAAGAAATAGAATGATGTAAGTTTAAAATGTCCTTCCTAATCGACTAAATCAGATCACCTACTATAAAATGCAGATAAATCATTTCACACGTAGTTATTCCGGTTTTTTTCCTTATGCCTGTTTGCCTGACTGTCATTCATGTAGACAAGAGAGAGAGAGAGAGAGAGAGCAAGAAAGCCTAAAAAAGAAATGATTATACATATTTAGTTTCATCAGAATCAATGAAATTAGAATGTTGTTTTTTGTTCACATTCTATTCTTACCTTATCTAAATCACTTGACGAATCAATATAATGCTAATAATTAAACATAGATATTATCTCTTTACCATATTGACATCATCATCTATTATATAATGTTTCTTTTCAAGTCGATGATATACACATTCTCTATCTATTAAAGTATCGGACAACAGAAAAAATGACTTGTTGACTATACTCTTTCTATCTACTGTCTCGCGTTTTATTTCTAGTATTTTTTTATGTCGGTATAAATGGTTATATAATGTAATATAATTCTCTCTGTCTCTCGTTCTGTTACAGAATCACCATTAGTGATCTAACAAAGATTTCTACGCTCTCATCTCTCTATAAATAGATAGATACATAGAATTTGTAGCGACCTTGTAATGCTCTTCTTTAGTCCATCGTTCTCGAGAAGCTATTGTGTTCTATGTTTCAGAACATCCATTGGTGACAGTACGAAGACTGTCAAGTGTGGCTTGATCTATCGAACATTTTTCTCGTTTTTCTTTTCCCTACGACATTGAGGTTTGACCTCGAGTTTTGCATACGTAGAAAAAATGAGTTTCTTCCTCAGACAGTCGATCGATTGACGAGCAAACGGAAACAAGTTATTTCTTTCTATTATTTCTTTCTAATTTCGGACTTCCTTTAATAATAAAGATGATCGACGAGCACAACAGAAATGATAAAGAACAATTTTCTACATGATACAAAGGAAAATTCTATTCGGAAGAAGAAGAAAAAAAAAAGAAATCTTGCATAAGAATCTAATCAATTTAAGACAGTGTACGTCCGTACATAAATACTGAACAAAGTGGTTCCTGTTTTCATTAGCTAATTGAGCGTCGTGGAAAATGTTTAACATTGAATATTAAACAAGAATTTTACTATTTGAAGATTCATATTAGAATGCTATTAGCAGTTGACATTGAGCAACTAATGCGTTTCATAATGAGCAAAACTTTTGTTAATGTCTACTGATTAAATTTCTTCTTTCAGATCTCATGGAAAAGCGTATAAATATATGTTCGCAAATGCCAATCTAATTGTGTTTGAAGATATGATGGATGTCATTGAATTGTACAAGAAAGTCTTACTGCATTCTTGTGTGGATGAATAATGTACTTACGATATAGAAGTATTTAATATCAATACCCTTTGATTGACATCTGCTTAGCATATCAGCATTCGCGTATTTTGATGGAACGGCTGATTTGATTATACAAAGATGAGTATATCAGCGATACTGTGAAACTTTAACCTATTACTAATGAAATTGATGGCTTCGAAAAATAAACTTTCTTTGCATTCAAAGTCATTATTCCATTTCTAAAGATAATCCATCTTTTGAAGCAAAGAAATAAAAGCAATAGAGCGAACTGTTCCCAAAAAAGAGAGAGAAGAATACTATTAGATTATAATGGCTTTTTGTTTGCCAAATCGATTCCGTAGTTATCCATCACATTTGAAAAGTAACTTCTCGGATCGATTCTTTCTCAATGATCATTGAACCTTTCTCTATTAGACTATTCTTAATGTCAAGATCAAATTGCATCTCTAAGAAAATAGTTATACAATACGACAAAGCTCGTATTTCTTTTCTCTAGCAATTATTGTTTGTGAAATTAGCTTCGTTTTTCTCTTCAGATAAATACTTCGTAACAAGCTGAATATCGCCACGGTGATCTATTTTGTATTCCTGATTGCATTGCTATTTAGATTAGTATTTGCAACATAAGACATGCCGATACGCATATTTAAATATTCATTTGACATTGGCGAAGAGGAAAAAAAAGGAAAATTGAACAATGATAGACTAAATAAATAAACAAACACCGGAATCTAATGACAGTTAAAAATATGTAAATTAATAAGTAAACAATTCTGGATAATTAAAACTATTTATATTATTAAATTTTGATGTTCCATTGCTTGTAGTTGTGATATTATTTGATTTTATTCCATTTGTTGTTGTTGTTGGTGGTGGTGGTGGTAATGTATCTTTTGATAAATAGAGAACGTTCAATAATTGTCCTATACGTTGATCAACTTGACGTTGTTTTTCATTGACACGCAATTTTAATTCTTCAAATGGTTTCGTACGAAAATCTTCAATTATGCGTCGTTTTTCATGATTACGTGCCTGCGCTGTTTCAGTCGAATTAAACACATCACGTATAGTTTGAAATGATATATCTTCAACATGATTATCATTCTAAAATAGAAATATGATAGCATCGGAATCTATGTAAAATTATATTTGATATACGTTAAATGTTGCACGGATCTCTGTTTCGCTAATTATTGATCCATCTGTTTCCGAGTCATCATAATTTTCCCCACCGACTGTGTCCGGCTCTAAAAAAAGAAAAGAAAACGGATATTAAATAGGGATTTTGTTTTCCGTCAGTTTATTCATGTTACTATTTATAAAACTGAACATGTTGATTCAATTATTAAACAATTATTTTAATGAGAATAAGAAGGATTAAGTAGCTGCGCAACGAAAATATAGGATTAAAGTCACTGTTGTGTGTTCACGTTTCTTATGCTGGCACGATAGCATGAAGAAGATTAAATTCTAATAAATAGCTAATAGAAGCGTTTCCTTTTTCTTTTCCTGCATGTCTTCGAGACTTTCTTTTTTTTTCTTATCAAAAAGAAAAAAAAACCTGAGCTACAAAACACAACGCCGACGATCGAGTCTACATAAAATTCTATAGACGAAGAAGAAAAGCTTACATCCATTAGTATCAAAATTTCTATGGTTTATGAAGACCATGTTATATGTTCAATTGTTTATCTTGTCTATTATTGGCTTCATAGGAATTGTATTCAACTGGCTGCTTATTTTAGCAATACAACGAAAAACCTATCATTATCAACATTCACAACGAAACCCAAGTCCAATACCAGTGAAATCATTACTCCGAGCACGTTCGTCTGTAGCTGCACAACTCATTCAACCACCCTTACTACCATCTGTACGTTCATCGATATCAATATTCGATAAATTTATATTAGCATTTCTCATCAATGATATATTTGTATGCAATTTCTTATTACCATTACGTTTAGTTGATCTTTCGAAAGGTCTACCATTTGGATTTCTATGTTTTATACTTAAAGCTTTTGAAAAATTAACAACAATGATTGAATTAATTATAATTTTTTCACTCTTGATAATATCATTGATTTATTTTTGGAAGAAACATTTATTAACAGAAAAAGTATGGTTCGTACTATTTATACTTATGTTACCTATTTTAGTTACTGGATTTTTACCAACATTAACTTATATTGATGTCGAAGAGCAAGAGTTCAACAAGCGACCTCCAACATGTAAACAAGTCTATATTTACATTGATTTAACTACATACAAAACATTAAATCTCCTTTGTTGCTTAATTACACATCTTATGATTTTTATAAGTTTTATTTTACTTATTAAAATGCAATCGGCTATTAGAGTCTATAAAAAAAATACATTGAAAAATCTTACTGAAGCTGCAGTCGTCTCAAAAGTTGACGTAACATCATTGGAACAAGTATCCGAAGAAAAAAAAACAGCAATTCTTTCACTTCTACTCTTCTTCTTTTTCTAGGGTGCTCATGATTATAATCGTCATCGTTCAATGTATTACTCTGCGTCTATAACAGTAGAACCAATGATATCTGGTGGTTTTAATGCATCAGTTAAAACTGCATCGGAACCTATTGATTACGTTACTTATTTAGCTGTGACTGAAAATAGTCACACGCTGGTTCGATCAACATGTCTTATTCTACTGATTTATTCACTTCTTTATATACCTTATTGGTTCTATGAATTATTTCATACACAAATTTTCTATCAAATAAAAGATATATTCTTTTTATGTCATATAGTCAAACCATTCTGTTATATGTCAACCAATGAAAAATATCGGCATCATGTATGGGCTATTATAAAATGTAAAACATTCCGAATGTTACCAAATATTCTACGAAGAAAATCTCATAGTGTTACATTACATAATATTAATAATAATAGTACGAATAAAACTACAAATCTATCAAATAATCTTTGAAAAAAAAAATAACCTACCTGGTTCGGGACGATATTCTCGATCGAATTTTGATGTATCATGACCAGATGCATCTAATGCATTAGCAACTATTTCTTGGGAGAATAAACAATCTTTTGGAATACGAGACGGAATTGTTTCATCAGTATTAGAATTAAACGCATTGACTGGTAGCAAATATGGAGCACGACGTTCACGATTTCGAACGATCTAAACAAGAACAATATTTGTTTCCCTTTTTTTGTTGTAATGCATATTAATTTTTTTTTTGATGAAAAGAAAACAAAAAATTTAAAAGTTTTCTATCGGAAATAACAGGGAATTTTATTCCTGGTTTAAAAAGTCATCATGGAACTTCAAAGAAAATCTTAATTGAAAACGTATCGTGATTACACCTAGACAGAAATTCTATTTCATGTTTTCCGTATGGAATCGAATATACATACGTATATAAATTGTGCTAATTTTATTCTTACCTCATTGACATGCTGAGAAAATGCTGAAATTCCATTTAATTTTGACATTAAATTGAAATAAGCGGCTATTAGTGCATGTATACTGTGATCATTTGTTTTGGATAATCTTCTCTGAGATGATTGGTGTAAATTTCCATTTGAGTCTGATATTTTTGTTAAATCACACTAAATAAATAATGATTTTTATCGAGCGTGGGAATATTTGTCTTTTTTCAGTCAGTTTAATTTACCTGAATTTTAAAGCAAAAATGAATAACATCAACAAGAACATCTTTATCTCCTGCTTCAAGCGTAACAAGATTCATAAGGCAATAAATAGCATGAAATATATCATTCGTATTATTATCCATCAATATACATGCATAGAGTTGAGAAAGAAATTGACGACCAAACTAAATATGTAGATATATATATATATGTAGCAATAATAGTTAAGATTTTTGTTTTGTCTCAAATAAATAAATCTACTTTTTTCATAAACGCAATATCAAACAGACGGTTTGCTTTTGTTTCTGTTGGCAATTCCAGTTGAGAAATATCTTTAGGCAGTCTAAAAAGAATAGTAAATTAATTAATAGTTTGATGTTTGAAGATTTAACAGAGAAAAACCTTTATGTTTTAGCTATAGCAGAGCACAAGGTTTTCGAGCGCTTCCAGGCTTACCTGCTATTCTTAGAAATAGACTCGAGGGCTTTGATAATATGTGTTTATTTTGATAACTGGGGATGTATAGATTCCACGTGTAAAAACATTCTACAGGAGACTTTCTTTTCTCGGCTAGATAATGTCTTAGCCACGAGAAGTACGTATTTCTGCTTTAATAGATTTTGAGCAGCGTATTGATCTTTCTCCATAAGAATCGATTTTCTCAAATATAATAATTACTTTATTTGCCGTAATTTATCTGAATATTGTCGTCGATCGACTAATGATTGAAGAATTTCTAAAACAATTAAACGAACTTCTGGTTCTGGTGCATTCATCATTTTAAGTAATGGATCGAAAAGTTGATGAGGAAACGTTGTTTGTGTTGATGTTTCACGACGATGAACTGTTTGATAGGTTGCTGCAACCTAAAAGAAAAATGAACTAGAAAACAATGTTCAACAATTTCCCTAAGCTAAATCTCAATCAAATATGAGCGCTGAGCATTCGAAAGAAAAATAGATTCAAGGGCAAAAGCCATTGAAAAGAAATTTTCTTTTCAGTGACCTCATAGTTTTTTTTAAGCTATTAGAAAGAAAAACAAAAATATAACTAAAATGAAACTAAATATAACTGAATAAACATACTTTTTTCACAGTTTTAAGTAGAAGTAATTGAAGTTTTAAAGTTGCATCTCTATTTAAAAGTAAAATAAACAAAATGAATAATTTAATTCTACGAAATAACAAACTTTGAATCATTTGTGGTTTCTTCATAGCCTTGATTAAGTGTTGCTAGTGATGTTATTATAAATTGCATGATTTCCATCATTTGAAAATCCGGTAATTTTTCGGCGAAATCTCCTATGCCATTAATAACTGCTGTTTGAAATTCATGTTCATCTTGATTATTGGATAATGTTTTATTAGCATTTGATGTATATTGAATTTGAAATGATTTCCTTAAAAATTTCAACAGACGAGAAATGCCTGTAAACATAGTTGATCCTAGAACACAAAATTTATTAGAAAAATAAATATTCCTACAGACAATTTACCAGCTCCAGTCGTTGCAGCAGCAAAAACCATACAATCTTGAATAACTTTCATAATCGATGTTTTTATATTTGCTCTGTCTTGTTGATGAAAATGTTTTTCAAGGTGACCAAGAAGTAATTCGATAATTAAATAACTATTATGATGCTAAACAAAATTCGTACATTGAAATAATTGATATGAATATAAACAAAAAAATATTACTTTTATTGAATTCATTATTTCAGAAAAAATATATTTGGGAAAGTCAACAGGGATCCATTTATCATGATTATCTAAATGACTAAAAACAAAAAAGGTTCAATTAGAAAATGAGCTTTTTGGTCTTACATTAGAATGGGTTGAACGCAAGCAGTGATATTATTTAAATGAGCACGACAAAATAAATCACGTAAAACAATTACAGCTAGTATAGCTGGATTATCATTTGCTAAGGCTGTTCCACGTTCAATTAATTCAATTTGTTCAGGTGCTGTTGTTACGCCGAGATTATATTGTGATGATGTTGGTGTTGTACTTAAAATAAAAGTAATGATATGCAAAACAAACTGTTTACTACAATCCCTATGGAATTGGTGAAAACAAGGACATCTTTCATATTCGATCGGGAGATGAGGTGTCAAATTTGACACATGAACGTTACAAAAAAAGAGAAGAAATCCTTCATACGGAATAGATTGTCGGTCTTGTTCTCGTACTTCCATATTGAATACAATTGACGGTACTATTTTATCCATGTGTTTCCAAACATCATTCTGTAATTCATCATTTGCAGTTTTTCGAATTAGAGCATGATGACCGCGAAGGCCAAGACACCGAAATCTAATGAAAAATAAAATAGATTGCCATCACAATCTAATGAAACGCCTGCATTCATACTTGGTTTTATTTGTATCACTATTGTTATGGCACAGTTCAGTGAAGCGATCGACAAAAAATTCATAATTACGTTGATAATTTGGTGCTTCTTCACGAATTTCACAAAAGGCTTCGAACTGAAAAATCATCGAATTCTTTTTATCATTCTTTGAAAACCCGACAAAAACACATACCGAAGACACCGCATGTTCGGTTAATTCAAGATCATTTTTTTCTTCAAGCACCAGACGAAGTGCATCAAGATAATGATCAACAAAAGTATTTAATTGTTGATAACATGATTTCATTGTATCATTCATAGCTTTAATTCCAAGAATAACAAATCTAAATTCATATGCAATTAATGTATTTTGTTTGGAATGTAATAATAAAATACTAACGGTTTATTTCGATGACGTAAATAGCGTGCAACTTTTTCTGACATGTACCGAAACGATTTGTCAAGTTTTTCAGGTTTAACAACTGCATAAAAACGTAATTTCTCCAGATTATTTTTATCGAGTCCGTGCTAAATAGATCGTAATCATGTAGGATACTATCTTTCTTAATGTGTTTACCTGTGGGTTTTGTGGAAAAACATTATTAACTAGTCGTTTGTATCGTGGTACAAGATAACAACCACAGCAAAAGCAATTATTACAATATTCTGACATGACTAAAAATGACAACTGAGAAAATCTACAAAGTTAGCAAATCTAAATAAATAAAACATCAATAAAATACAATTATGTTAACTTGAAAATCGGCTTGATGTGTATCGCTTTTGAAGAAAGGAAAACAAAAAATGTTTTCAAGGATACGTACGGTTATGAAAATACAAACATTGAATAAAAATATGCGCACGTTAAGAGTGTTCGCTTTTCTTCTCCACTCTTCACATATTATACAGATGCAGATGACTATTTTGTGACTGTCAGTGTTTTTCGAGAGGCAGAACTCATTAATTGGTTGAGTCAAACCAATGAAAACAAAGCTCACAGAGAAACGATGCTGGATAGGCTGAGAAATATGTCCATGAGAAAAAAAACATATTCAAGATGACGCTAACGGTTCATTGATATCGCATGCTTGCTATTTAAAACATATTTATAATAGCGAGTCGGATATTCAGTCAATTTTACTCCGAGATGGGCAAGTCAGCGGTTTTTCGACTCAACTCAAGTCAAGTCAAATCGAGCACTTTTTCAAGTCAAGTCAATTTGAGTCATAATTCATTCAAAAAATCATCAGGTGAAGTCATTTTTTGACTTAACTTGCCCATCTTTGATTTATTATTTGTATTTTCTTCTACATTTCAAATTAGAGTTCAAAAATTCAATTAATAAAAGTTCTCTATACATATAATTTTTGACTTGACTTGAATTTCTCTGTACGACTTGTTGCAAGTCAAGTCAAGTCATTCTGAAAATTTTCAAGTCAAGTCATGACCCATCACTGACTTGCCCATCTCTGATTTTACTGTTGCATTCAACATTCGAATTATTACTCGTATAAACGGCGTATTTGCACGAATTAGAGAGTGAGCTTTCTGTTTATTCACGCCCACTGTTCCATAGACTCACATCTTCGGTGTAACCTTTCTTATCACTTCGTGCCACTATTCTATTATTTAAAACTGGTCTCGGATTGCAAGTTTTTGAAAATGTAGGAATTAGCACAGAATCAAACTTTTTAAAAGTACAGGAAAAGGTGTAAAAAATCAGAAAAAAATAGGATATTGAAAATTCGTTGTTTAGATTCGAATTAAACGTTCTTTTAAACTTTTCCTGCATCAACTTAACATGTGCACGAAATTTTTGTCAATATTTCATTTTAATTCTTTCTTAAATTAAATTAAATGAGTCAGACAGGGTGTGGGTAATGCGCAAGTATGAAACTTTTCAACAATCGCATTTTGAGGTTTTTAATCAAGAAATGTTTTCAAAACATATCAATGACAGATCGTTAGTTGTAGAATTCCAGTCTCTATTTACCGTTTATGAGCTTCCATACAGATGTATCAATTTCGTTTTTGTGTATAACGATTAGTTACAAAGAAAAGGTTATTACTAATAAAAATCAAATAACTCTGATCATGTTAGGTGCTTCAAAATTGGTGAAGAAAAATTGTACCTCAGCGTTACTAAAAATTGGAGAAAACGATTTTAGTGTTTTAAAGCCTGATCAAAAAGCACTACAAAACTAACTCGAGAAGTGTTTCATTTGGAGAAATAGTTGCAGAAGAAACGGGGTCTTTTTATGTCACAGTCAAGCAACCAAAACTCCTCTCTATAACCAAGAGACTTAATCCAAAAATGGTCATTTTATGACATAAACATATCATGACAAGTTGCATCAAATCACGTTTGAACCATTTACGTAACTGTATATGATAGGCAACAATAAAAGCTTTTAAAAAACACACAACTATTTATAAAGACTATTTTACTTTGTTTGAATATCTTTACTTAAAATAGTCAGTTATTTTCATTTAGTCCGTTTGATAATGTGAAAAGAAATTGTAAA